AAACGGCTGGCCACAATGCATATTCCAATAGGGCTTTCAAATACAAGATCATAACGTGAAGCAACTTGGAAGAATTAGTATGTATGCGAAGTGTATCGGGGGATGCATGCAGGGCGATAGTGCGGGTTCGAATCCCAGGTTTAATATGTCTAAAAACAAAAAGTAGAAACTTATAAGAATTTATGACATCCCTATGCTTTTTTTTGTCTCGGTCATCAAGGCAAAAAAGCATAGCGCCCTGAGCTTCCAAGCTCTCTCGTTACCAAGCATCAAGTTGAAGTGGTTTGGACATGTTGCAAGGTATCAGGATAGCTACTCCCACTATTTCTTGGATGGAATAGTGCCTGGTTCTTGGCTGCATGTAGTCTAGCCTATTTTGCACTAGCGTGACCCATGCTACCGGCATACCGACAGCTCCTAAACAAAAAATAATGCGGTGCCCACGTTATTGTTGATATAAATATGACTGTGGCTAGTAGGGTAGTGAGTCAACCCAGTAAAGAAATATATACCAGTTCTATGTGCGATAGTGCAGATCTGATACTTGCTGGATATAACATTGGAGGTTAGCGTCAATATGCACTTGGAACACTAGGGACAGTCCAGCCGTCCTAGATGACTACATTATCATACTCCCATCAGAGGGTGTACATGATTTAAACATACACACATAAAACGAGGCACTCAACTGTGAATGTACAAAGAGCCATGCGAACACGTAGTCTATGTCTTTTTCTTAGCCTTGGCGCGGGGCACCTTCGTGTGCGCGGATGCCCATGCCTTGAGGGCAAACAGCTTCTTGCCCAGGTCAGTCAAGTCGACACCAGCTAGTTCAACCTACAAGTACACCGTGTAAACACAGAGATAATACTGTGTTACATGTGTGTATCAAGACTCGCTGACTGAAGACTCACGAATCATGCATGCTCATATCACACGTGCGCATGCGAGACAGGAGACAGTTTGGGGAATGTCATCACACAGGAAAACAATACTAGCACATCGTTACACCACTGGCACTATGATAGGCATGTGACGTCACCCGGATGATGTGGATACATGAATGCAAGGGAATCCGGCATGTGAATACAAGAACACAGACAACAGCACAATAAGCACACAGCTACAGGAAACAACGCGAGGGGCAGTACCCAGAGCACACACAGGGAAGCGAACAATCACATGATCCGCTAGGCAGCAGCAGGACAACAAAACAGCCTAAGGACTACGAGATCTCGTATACTTAGCAGCAGGACAGACACATCCATTACTGGTCACATCAGCCGGCGGAGCACCCGCAACATACCTTGTCCTTGATAAGCTGTCCACGATTCTTAGCTCGTTCTGAGCGGAGGTTGATGGATGGGAACATCTTTACAAATTGAACATACCTGCAGAGGACATTGTAGGTCCACAAGAACTTGTCATAACACGAACCCACACATAGCCTAGAGGGATGATCCTTTCCACCAACGACTACTATTCAAGACTTCAAGTACCATAGTACAATACATGTCAGTAGCCTATAGCGATAAGCAGCCCATAATTAAGTTCTCCGTATTCCAGGAGGGTCTAGATGCTGCTAGATATCCGGAGAGCATCATCTACTCATGTACCGTAGACCAGAGCTTTATCATAGATATCAGTCTGGTTGGTGAGAACTGAGTAGGCGGGAAAGCACCTAGTACAAACCACTGCATCAAACTTTAAAACAAATACGGACACACACAAACGAGCGCACACTCATACACACAGGCACACGAATACTCATATACGTAGCAGTGTTCTGACGTACCTTGCTCGCGTGCTGTTGTTGGGCCGACTGCCGTGCGCCACACGCTGGTCCCAGATGAGTAAGCTGCCAGCACGCATGGGTACTCTCTGGGGCTGTTTGTACATGGGATCATGGCCATGCACAGGTATAAAGTTCTACAAAGAGAACACAGAGATCACAGGTAACAACCAACCATTTGAATGGTAAAGTAGTCGTTGTTGATGAAACCCAGCCAAATAAAACATCAGTACCCCGCAGCAGTACACAGACAACTGTCCCTGTGGGCAACAACTGTATGGTCCTGACCCTAGTTGAGCATGATAAGGCTGGATTTTGCTGGACATGACAGTAGTTTTAAAAAGCAGCACAGTCCCGGAGAAGGTTGCAGGAGAAAACAAGTAGCTGTAGAGAGAGTTTGTTTTTTGCAGATTTAGATTTATATTGCTCCAGGAATGGTCAAGGGTGAACAAGGGTCTTGTCAACTGCACAAAGGTGTTGTTTGTTGCTCGGACCGCGGTCACGTTCTCAGTACTGAATATCACACCAGCCTTGTCGCGCTATACATTGTGCCGTGGTGGTCACAGGTGAACGCGTTGGAGTGTCGCTTCTCAACAGAGCCTACAAAACAAAGTCATGGCGCGTGTGCCGTTATCACCGTTTGCATGAAGCCTCAGATGTCGCGGAGTGATTCTTAGTTTCTTACCTTGCCTTTCGCTCAGCTCCCCGGCAAGTTTTCCTGTTTCTGTAGTTACGTCATGACCAGTATGGCACTCAGCTGTGGGGTAGCTAACGATGAACCTAGTAGGGTGCAGAAAAAAAACACATATACATCATACATTAAAAATCCGGTTTGCATCAGCTGTGGATTTTTCAACTCCCATCCTCCCAGTCCCTGCAGAGAAACTTTGGTATAATTAGTCTGATGTGATATTGAGTCGCGTGATATTGCAAGATAACACACAAAATGTCACACATTGAGTGCCAGATTAGATAACATTCATATCACTTATGTAACATGGACAAATGTGGGCACAAGTTATGCGATTGAGTCTACCAACTAAGCCAGATTTTGAAGAGTCAGACGTGCACAATCCAGCACAAAACTGACAAGGAGCACGGAGACATTCCACGGCATGAAAGTGCCTTGTGCCCACATTTTTCCATGTTACAATTTTTTCTTGGCTCACCGTCTGAGTTCCAATCTCTTATGTGTTGAGTTATAGTATTCTTGAATTGTGTTCAGTTTATCATCATTATAATAAGGTCGAGCATTGAAACGATTGTTTTCAGAATCAGAATATTCTTTGAAATGCTGATAAGTAGTTAATACGTGTGGATAACACAAATGGTTATTTGTAGAGGTTATTCTTCTGGCAACTTTTTATTTCGCCATTTGTTTGGATAATGAACCTACCGTTCGCACAGACTGAGCTCACACAACTTCTCAGCTTCAAGGGCAGTCGTAACTGACTTCTTTAGTTTCTCCAGCTGGGTGTTGTGTCCTCCACCTTGTTTCATGCTGTCAAACTAACAACATGTGTGAACTATAACAAGGTTTATCTAATACTAGTATTGTACTAGTATTGGGTTTGTACGGTCTATATCCAGCCCACTGATAATGGTGCAGAGCCACTCCGTTTTATGTGTCTATCAGCACTGCTTGTTGTACTGTTGTGCATTATCATACTACTACGCATTCGTTCCTCATGTTGTATTCACGTCTGATGCGCGTAGTCGCGTACACTGCTTTCATTCCTCATGTTGTATTCACGTCTGGATGCGCGTAGTTGCGTACACTGCTTTCACTTCTCATGTTGTATTCACGTCTGATGCACGTAGTCGCGTACACTGCTTTCGCGCAATCTTTTGATTTGAATGTTTTTTGAATCTCCGCTTCTGCTTCGAGAGAAGCAGAACTTTCCTTTGTACTGCGAGATGATTTCGATCAGAGTCAGAGTAAAACATTATAATACAGTCTTCTAAAACAACGAATCGTGTGCTATCCGGAGGCATGTTCGAGTAAGAACAGGGTTATATAATAGTACTTGTCTGTATCAGAGGGTCCCGGGCATCATACAGGCGTAGGAATAGGGCCTTTGTAAATAGCTGCCGTTCTTTGCCAGTACGGTAATGTTTCTGTGGGCTCTTTTACCTAGGGTTTTTGTCTTTTTTTTGTGTTCCAATTGATTTTTACTTTTTATTTTTGTGTTTAATACTAACATTCATGCATTTTTATGACTTGGGGCTGCACGCGTGCTAGAGTGTACGTGAAGTGTGTGGGTACAGTGAGGGCTGCGTCCCACCCGCCTGTGTGGATTCACAGGAAGTGTGAGTTACGAAGTCTGAAGAAAATGTTGAACGGTCTCTGCTGGGATGACGACTACACCATAGCTCAGTGGTTAGAGCATCGCTAGCTACAAGCGAGGGTCCCTGGTTCCAGTCCTGGTGGTGACAGTCAATTTTTTGTTCAGACTTTTCCCGTTTGTCTCTTTCCCTCAAACTAGTGAAGATTCATGCATTTAAATTGATTTTTGTACTTCAAAATAGTTTACTGAATTTGAATTTGTTTGATGATATGTGCAATTCATTTTTCCCGCACAAGAGGCTTTACTAGTACTTACCTGCGGAGGCATTGGTTGTGAGAGTTACCACCTCACCCTCGCAGTTTGGCGCTGCATCCCCTCTGAGATGAACGGCTGCTGAAAATGTTGTTGTGACTGCTTTTGCTACGCTGCCTGCTCTTCTTGGCATTGCTGCTGCTACGAGTACGAGTTCGTACTGCAGTCTTCTGTCTTGGCAATTACTGCACTAATAAATAATATTGAAGTAATAATATTCACTGGTACAGTGGTAGAATTATTAGAAGTTGAAAAAGACATCATGATATTGATAATAATCATCGAAAGAAGTGAACATGAACCGCTTCGAACACACGTTCGGCAAATATTTTTCCCTTGCCGCGGGCCTAGCCAAGGCCGTATACGTAGCTGTAGCTCAAGACTGCACTCGTACTGGGTCACGGCGAAGTGTCTCACTCGCTCTACCGCCGCAAGTCTGGAGCGCTTTGCGCTGGTGGCTCTCGCGTGCGCGCACTCCTCGTTGCCATGGCGCGCAAAAACTGCCGCACTCCTAGACCAGCGTCCCTTTAGTCCTTCGCGATTCAAACAAGCGAAAGTAAAAAATCCATGACAGTTCTTTGAAATTATTTGGAGTCTCGGTCGGAAAAAGGCTCTTCTCAGCCTTCTGCAAAGAAGTGGCTGTGCCGGATGACAGACTACAGCAGAAAAAGTAGTGAATGTCTTATTTCGGATTAGCTTATTTATATGGCAGTCTTTTGTCGCTGTCGCTTTTGAGTATTTTCAGGAAGTTCGATTAACCCTGGGACATTCATGATCAATAATATTAATTCTTTATTATTAAAGGTTGCTATAATCTTATCCTGGAGAATTCTAATGAGGCTATCGCTGAACTCATCGCCGTCAGAAGTATTCATGTATACGTGTTGACAACTGAGAAGCTCAGAGAATGACGACGCCTTGTGCTGCACGAGTTCTCAGTGAAATAATAGCAATCGGGCGAGTACCAAGTCGTGTGCTTCACATACGTTCTCAGGATGTTAACGGATCTGGGGAGAAGAAGCCGCGCCCAATCTGCTATATCATTCCCGGAAACCCAGGAGCTTCATCCTTCTACCGAACATTCATGCAACATCTATGGGAATACAGCAACGGTTCAATGGATTTAATTTCTGTGTCCCATGCCGGGCAAGATCCTGGCGTATTGAAGAGTGAAGTTGACTGCACGGCATCATCACTGGCACCAAGCGATGATCTTTCTTGTGAGAACGACAAGGTGGTCAGTGACTCCTTGTTGAGGGAACAATCTACCTATCTGGCTCCTACCAACAGCAGCAGCAGCGTTGCAGTGGATGTAGAGTATTTCACTGTAGCTGATCAAGTAGATCATCATAACAACGCCTTGCATCAGCTGACAGAACCTAACCAACCTGTGATTCTAATGGGTCATTCCATGGGAAGCTATATCATCACTGAGATGTGCCGCCGGTATGTTAATACTGAAGTTCGGATTGTGAGAGCACTACACCTTCTGCCATGCCCAGCTTGGATGGGAAGAAGCCCCAATGGACAACGGCTAGGACCTATTCTGACAGGCTTTCATTCATGGATATGTGCTGCACATCATCTAGTCACTTTTCTGCCTCATTGTATTCTCCGGGCTGCTATACGCCTTCATCTTAGTGATGTAACTCAGGATATCATTGATGAATGTGTCGACATTGTTATGCACAGCATCACTGGTCCGAATTGTCGAGCTATGGTAGCAAATACAGCTGCTCTTGGTGCTAATGAAGTCAATGTAATGAAAGAATTTGACTTTGAAACCCTCCGTGTCATGCAGACGCGCAGCACCTTTCTTTGCAGTCCAGTGGATGGATGGTTCCCTCTCCACTGCATAGATGAGCTTCGTGCGGAAATTCCGGAATTAGACGTTCGGATTGTGGACGACATCCCTCATGCATTCTGTCTGAATAAGAACGCCGAGGTCGCAAAAGTGGCATGGAACTTGGTAGAACATCTTGTCAGCTCCTAATCACGATCACTATTAACGATAGGAGCACATCGATATCGATGAAACACAAGGGAAGGTGAACTAAGGATCATGGAACTCAGTATCCAGCCAGACTAAATCAAGTATCTATGAAAACCAAAGTGATCAAAATGAATGTTACACATGTTTTAGGTTCCACAGGCTTTATGCTCGGGGCCAAATCCTCTCTGTCTCTCTCTCTCTCTCTCTCTCTCTCTCTCTCTCTCTCCCTCTCCCTCTCTCTCTCTCTCTCTCTCCCTCTCTCTCTCTCTCTCTCTCTCTCCCTCTCTCGCATGTTCAGTAGCCGTGGTGATAGTAGAGATGGTGCTGCACATTACACATGTACTACACTACTGTGCCGCTAATTCTTTGTTTTTTTGTTCCTTTCAGCATACTACGTAGTTTTCTACTTTAGGCAACACCATTTTAGATAGGCTCCAGTTTCATCTTTCTGTTTCCGTCTTCATACTAGTTCTATTTGGTTTTTTATACTTTTCCCTAGCCTATGGAACAAGCCTCATTCCCGCTCGTTCCTCATTCTTCCTTCCAGTTGGCAAATGCTGGTTTTTATACCTTGTGTAATTGCTCAGCGTTATTTGCAATAATAATAATAATAATATGGAACAAGGTACCATTGCATGTACATCGTCTACTTCAAAGTAGGCATGGCACGAAGCTATCGACATGATCTTGGAACTCGCATAGATGTACTGTAAAACATGTAATTTTAGGTGCATTCAAATTTCGGTGCCAGGGACCTGCCAGGTTTCAAGTGTAATTTAGAATTAGGTGACCAGTGTTCCCTTCACATACAGTGCATACCGTAGTTCCGCGCATATAAGCCCATGGGCCTATATCCGGATATAAGCCCACCTCCGTTTATAGGCCCATGGGCTAATAAACCGACCCAAACACCGTAGTACAGCATGTCAGTGCAGACTACATTACCAGTACCGGTACCTATGGTAGGCGGACAACCGCGCACGGACTTGTACTTTTTCGCGTGCCAGCTGCCTTCAAAATTCGAATATAGGCCCAGGGCTAAAAAACGAACCATTATTACTGATTTATTTTCCCGGAAAATGCATTATTTCGTATATTACACCGAAAATTACATGTTTTACAGTACTTGATGCAAAGGATCATTCGGGGAAGTATGCACTTCAAGTAGTGTTTGATAATAGTATACTATCAGCCATTGCAATTGCAGAAGGATGGGCCCCAAATGGAAGTACCGTATTTCCCCGATTATAAGTCGCACCCCCATTTTCAGGTTTGAACAATATTGTTGCGATACAGTCAGACCTCGCTTAACCGCACACATCCGTTTTCCACGAAAATATCCGGATAGGCGAGGGAATCGGATAATCAAAAACACATTCTGTATGTATGCATGCCATATGCTGTAAATCTTTAACCAGCGATTTCTTCCGGATGGCGAGGGATCCGGATAAGCGAGGTCTGACTGTATATTCACTTCAGTAGTAAGTCATGCTCGATTTCAAGTCGCACCCCCTTTTTTACCCTGAATTTGAGTGTAAAAGGTGCGACTTATGATCGGGGAAATACCATGGATACGGTCCGCTTATGCGGCTATGTTAAACGCTTCAACTTCTGGCTGTTAAACCAACACAGTGTTTGCTGCCTGCGGTGTTGCTACTGTTCCTTCACAACCAGCACTGGTAGTGAGATGACGATCGGCAATACATGGGCATTATAGTCAATCATGAAATTGTACTGCAATAGTTGGACATCAGTTACTAACTAAGTTACTATTGCATGCTACTAGTACTAGTGGCACATCTATTGCTCTGTTAATCGAGAATTTTTTTACTTTTCACTGATCCAGAGCCAACCGACATACCAACAACCTCAGCCATGAAAGCTATTATAGTAACGACACACTGGATTGTGGAGCCGAAACTAGTCCAACTTCCAAATGCTTTGGCAAGAAGGTAGCCTTCCAACAGGTTGGCACACACACACACCACACACACACACACCACGCACACACACACACACACACACACACACACACACACACACACACACACACACACACACACACCACTACCACCACCATCACCACCACCACATACATATTTTTTTTTACACAATGTGTCCTTATACCCGAAGTCTCATTACATGTATATGTATTACAGTTAGATGAGACTTTGCTCTGGGCATAGAAATTCTGTCGTTAATCGCAAATTGTCGTTATATCCGCAGTTGTTATATCCACAGTCCTTATTAGCGAAGTTGACTGTAGACATACACATGAGTGTATGCGAGCGCCTGTGCACATCACTGATTGCCCTTGTGTCCCTATTTCCCGAGTTGTTCTTGAGTAGGTTTCAACTAACTTTCCTTGGCTGCATTGCGTTGTTGTCAATAGATGTGGCTTGATCAGCTGAGACATCCATGGTTTGAAATCTGTTTAAACACTTCAACTTCTGGCTGTGAAACCAACACAGTGTTTGTAGCTGCATGCGGTGTTGCTGTTGCTACTATTCCATCACAATCAGTACTGGTAGTGAGATGACGATCGGCAATACATGGGCAGGTAGCATAACGGATCAAGAGTCCATGACCAATTTGAGTTGCATACTCCTAGAACTTGGTAGAAGAGTGTGCAACTCTGATCTCGTTTTGGGGCTAGACGTGCGGTGCCGACTTCACTTTATCATGCAGCTACATCTGCATTATGTGAAAATCAAATACCGCACCCTTCTTGTGATTTGAAATCAGATTTCGTGCGGAACTGAAGTTCATGTACCGAAAACCTAGAGATTTATCTGCACTCGAACAAAAGAAAATCGGGCGTGCTGGTATGAAAAATTATTGGCTGCAGTGGGTGATGTAGGAAGTTTCATAATGAAACCAGTGTGCTGTGCCTGAACCCATAATCAGTATTACCCACAGTGGCATATTGTTAGTTCTGGACTCTTGGAATTATAGATCAGCAGTAGAATGATTGGTGTGAACAAGAAACATGCCATACTGCACGTACACAAGGCAGACCTACAAAGCAGATGTACAAGAAATGCAGCACCTTGCCAGAATGATGGCTTGAGAAAATGATTCAAACCCGACTTTTGAGTTTGTTATGGTCTGCAATGTGAAAGACATACTGTAGATCAAGAATATCTTGGCCAGCTTTTAATTTTGGAATTGGGTGTTTTTAATTAACTCCGTGCATGAAATACGCTGAGGCTGTGAAAAGGTTGATTATGCTTAACCAATCAATACGTACAGAAGGTATGGTGGGCAGCTCGTACTGTCAAACTGGTTGTGTATGTGAATTGACTTTGATGAAAAGTAAAAAAAATATTCTTGATTAACAGAGCAATAAATGTGCCACTAGTAGCATGCAATAGTAAGTTAGTAACTGATGTCAAACTATTGCAATACAATTTCATGATTGGCTATAAGTTGAGAATACTTCTCAAAAGCAGAGCTATTTGTGATGACGTAGTTCATGTTCAACTCCATACACTTTAGTCTTCAAGCCATGGAGCTCGCCAATGAGCTGCTTCGTGTGGCCAGCTGTTCGCTGAACTGCTTCTAAAACATCTGTATCACAGGCACCATCGAAATTGACTGTCACCTGTGCCACACAAACAACACAAATTACAGAAATTCCTAAAATTCTTCAACTCTAGATAGGGTGCATGCTGGACATCATGACTGTAGTGCATGGACTTTATAGTATAATACTGAGTCCAACATAATTATATTGACCTGAAAAAGACGAAAATAGTATGGACTCGCTGGGGTGGGCGTTTGCTGCGAAGTGGGTGCTTGCAGCGGACTTTATGGTATTGATATTCAACGGAATACCTGTCTGCAAATTGGGTACCGGTAGTCCTTGCATCACTGATCTATATCATATATCCCGCCATGTTCGTCCCCTCCTTACTTGTCTAGTACTAGTAACATGATCCTCATGAAGCGATAGGACAGTGGGCCAATACAGCAACCTATGTGAGACAGTGACCTTGATCAGGTGAAAAGTGCTCAATGCAAGCTCCAAATAACTAGCATAGCAGAGCCTTACCAAGTAACCACACGTATGCCCAGTGGAAATACCGGGTTGAGCTGTGTCTCTACTCAAGAGTTGCATTCACCTTTAAAATGCTATAGTAGCAATCACCAGCAACCTACCTTGTAAAGTTGATTCTCCAGGTCTTTAAGGCGAGAGCGTAATGACTTGATGTCATTAGAGAAGCCTTCTCTCTCCAGATTTCGGCGTCTCTCTAAGTTCTTGTATCGATCATTCATAAGTGCCAATCGTTGAGCCATGCGCTCCGCACGTTGGGAAAAAGACTGCAAGCATAAGTACCATGGTGAAAGAACATAAGCGCACATTTTTGAACAGATACATGCAGCGAACATGTACTTGAACATTTCGAGAATCTTCCAGCGCCTGCGCCTTGATCCTTGAGGGTGGGCGCATTCCTATGGATGCGGTAAATTCAGTCCGACAGAGTGTCAAGCGAACAAAGAATTTGTCTTGTTCTCATCAATATTTCATGATACCGTGTCGTTATACTGCACTACCTACCTGCTGGTTAGTTTCCTGCTTCTCTCTCATACGACTGTGCAAATCTTCTAATTCAGTACATTGATCACGATATGCTTCGGCAAGCTGTTGCTGTTGCTGCAATGCTTCTCGCAAGCGGTGCAACTCCATTTTGTAAGCAGTGCGCACATCAGTGGCTCCGGACAGCAAGTCTACATGAATATTGAAAAGAGGCAGTGATGAATACACAGGAGAAGACTGAACTCATGATGATCGACAACTAAACGAAATAATCTACACAGTATGCTGTGAGCAAAGGGAAGCAATGATCTTTGTTGAAACATTACAAGATGCTTCATGTTGCACATTTTAATAATGCCAGTGGTGTGTGCGTCTGTGTTGGACGGCAGGGCCTTTCGCGTCGAAATGTGGAAGAGCGGCATTAAATGCCAATCAACAGGACACACACACGCACGCACACACACACCATTTTTGACCTTTTGACACCCATCGCTATCGATGCTACAGCAGAAGCCATAGCAACTTGTGCTGGGATTGCACCATTCAACAGCTCACCTCTTTTTCCACACGCACATCACACCACATACTCTGGTGTGCACTGGTTGTTGGTAACCACCCAGGAGAATGAAAGAAAAGTCAGGAGACGGAGAAAAAGAAGAAAGACACGTAGGATCATAATCGTTGGGAATCGAACCCGCAACGTCTCACATACTACTGCACTATGTGGGCCATACACACACACACACACACACACACACACACACACACACACACCTCAGACCTCAGACCTGCCCATCGCGGAAGCGATGATAGCGAACAGCTATGTTAGACATAGCAACTTGTGCTGGGATTACACCATTCAACAGCTTGCAAGGCTGATGAATTGACCGCCACTATTTTTAGCCTGGTATCCACCACACAGCTGATTGAAGTGACTTTTTCTGGCCAGTGAATCCCTATTTTTAATTTTTCCATTTTTTTTCTTTCACACACACACACACACACATGCACACACACACACACACACACACACACACACACACACACACACACACACACACACACACACACACACACACACACATGCACGCACACACACACATGCATGTGCACAGCATTGCTATTTTGACCAAAGCAGCCAGTGCAAAAAGAAAAGAAAAATAGAGCACGTAGAATGCATACCTTGTCTGTTTTCCTTGGTATCCATACCAGATTGTGTGGTTGAAAAGAGAGCACTGGCGGCATTGCTCTCTTCCACTAGTCGCTTCATTTCATCTAGATTGCACATCAACTCATCTTTCTCAGACATCCACGCCCGCTCACGAGCATGAATATCATACTTGAGAGCAAGGAAATCGCGGGTGCTGTCATAGAGGATATTTTGTGTTTTCTGCAATTTCTCTGAAAGAGAAGCAATTGTTTCAGTGTCACGCTCTGCGCGTGCTTGGGTTTCCTCCAATGCAACCTGTCTGTCTTGCAGTAAAGCATCAACCTAACACGAGAACAAAACAGGACAAGCAGCCATAGATGAGATCAAGGATCATGATCGAGAAGCAGAGGGCACTGATGAGTGATGACTGTGAAGACTGCAGCCAATACAGAAAACATTATTTAGAAAAGAGGTTCACTCCGGTTCTTACATACACATTTCATGGCACCGATTTTCCTCCATACACACAAAGGGGTATGGTTACTACGGACTCGGGTAAAACGTACTCCCTGCATATTCGCTTGGTCCAGCGAATGATGGACAGTCTATTAACATGTGTCATTCGTTGGTCCTGGAATACATCTACAGGTCAGGTGGCTGTCAAGAAGCCAACTTCCTGGCTTCTCAGCATGCAGCTGGGAGGAATTGAGGTATGAGTTGAGCTGTAGCCAACTCCACCACTACCCGAGGGCATGTGGCGTAGTGCATGTCTCATAGTAGCCAACTCCACCACTACCCGAGGGCATGTGGCGTAGTGCATGTCTGCCAACTCCACCACTATCCGAGGGCATGTGGCGTAGTGCATGTCTGCCAACTCCACCACTATCCGAGGGCATGTGGCGTAGTGCATGTCTGCCAACTCCACCACTACCCGAGGGCATGTGGCGTAGTGCATGTCTGCCAACTCCACCACTATCCGAGGGCATGTGGCGTAGTGCATGTCTGCCAATTCCACCACTACCCGAGGGCATGTGGCGTAGTGCATGTCTGCCAACTCCACCACTACCCGAGGGCATGTGGCGTAGTGCATGTCTGCCAACTCCACCACTACCCGAGGGCATGTGGCGTAGTGCATGTCTGCCAACTCCACCACTACCCGAGGGCATGTGGCGTAGTGCACTCCACCACTACCCGAGGGCATGTGGCGTAGTGCATGTCTGCCAACTCCACCACTACCCGAGGGCATGTGGCGTAGTGCATGTCTGCCAACTCCACCACTATCCGAGGGCATGTGGCGTAGTGCATGTCTGCCAACTCCACCACTACCCGAGGGCATGTGGCGTAGTGCATGTCTGCCAACTCCACCACTACCCGAGGGCATGTGGCGTAGTGCATGTCTGCCAACTCCACCACTACCCGAGGGCATGTGGCGTAGTGCACTCCACCACTACCCGAGGGCATGTGGCGTAGTGCATGTCTCATAGTAAGTAGTATACACTTATATTTGAAATACAGTTGTGGTCGGTGAAACGAGACGCAAAGTACAAAGCTGGCGCCGTCCTGAACCAGGTTCGAGCAGTCTCACGGTACCAAATACTTTGCGTCAAATTTCACCTAGCGCAACTGTACTCACTACTGCTACTACAAAGTATGATTTCAAGCAGGTTGAATTATTGGACGAGAAGGTGAGTCGGGTATGATGTCAGCCTTGCATATAAAGTACCCCAGAAACTAAGTACTTGTTCCCACTGATGTTGGTCTAGGTGTGGCCGTACTTCTGAGGTTCCATTGCATAGGACTTGAAATATGCTACAAAAAGTCAGCAAAATAAAACAAAAAACTTGCTCCGGTATGTATATCGGCAATCAACTATCTTACCTGTTGCTTGGCAAGACGAGTTTGCTCTTCCAGTTGTGCCTGCAGTGCCTGCACAGTGAGGGCCAGTTGCTTTTGCGTCCCTTTAGACTCAACATCTAGATATGTGAGCACCCAAATTAGATGCATGTACATTCACACACACACACACCACACACACACATTTGTACTTGTTGCTCACTGCCAAAACTGGTCACGTGGGTCTCCCCGGGAGAGGGGAGAGAGACTCAAAAGGAATCTTGCACACACACACACACACACACACACTCACACACACACACACACTCTCTCTCTCTCTCTCTCACTCACACACACACACACACACACACACACACACACACACACACACACACACTCTCTCTCTCACACACAAACACACACACACACACACACACACACACACACAATCTGGTTACAAAACCCCAGTGTGGTGATGGTGGCGGGGTTTGAGAAATTCAGAACACAGTAGGGACAGCAAACGGGAATGTCCTTTGGTTACCTGAACCAATTGCCATAATCATGATACTCTGGTTGTACATGTAGCACAACTGAACTCCCCGACATTGCACATCTTGACGGATTGGAACACAACGGGTGCAGCTGACAAAGTGAAGCGTCCGAGTGGGTTAGGCATGAAACACAAGGATGCAGCACACTGATTTAATTCAGGTGAGGGGTCTGCAACTGATGATGGTGGCGCTCAGAACATAGGCCTGAAAACTGCCCTCGCTCCTCATTCATCCGTCACATGTGTCGCAATAACAAATTGTTGGATGCTGACTCACAGAAAGATGGAATGTAGCTGTGTACTTCTATATTTTCTTGTCACTGGAGTACACAAGCAAGATTTCCAACCATGGATGTCTCAGCTGATCAAGTCACATTTATTGACAACAGTGCAGGGAGAGTTAGTTGAAACCTACTCAAGAACAACTCGGGAAATAGGGACACAGGGGCAATGTGATGTGCACAGGCACGCGCATGCACGCATGTGTATGTGTATGTGGTGGTGGTGGTGGTGGTGTGTGTGTGTGTGTGTGTGTGTGTGTGTGTGTGTGTGTGTGTGTGTGTGTGCGTGTGTGTGAATTTGCGTGAGAGGGGAAGGGGAGGAGAGAGACACACGTGTAATATCTCACATACCGTTCGACTGTTCAAATTTCGCATGATGTGGATGGGAGGTGTTGCGTTCCACATGACATCTGTCCAGCTACACATGAGTGAAAAGATAGCCAGAGCAAACTAGGAAATTAAAAACAAAAATACAAAACAGTCCTAGTGAGCAGGCATAGGGACTCATGAATGAGTGAAATAACTCTCCACTCACTCAGTATCAATCATTCCATGATGAGTGAAATAACTCTCCACTCACTCAGTATCAATCATTCCATGATGAGTGAAATAACTCTCCACTCACTCAGTATCAATCATTCCATGATGAGTGAAATAACTCTCCACTCAGTATCAATCATTCCATGATGAGTGAAATAACTCTCCACTCAGTATCAATCATTCCATGATGAGTGAAATAACTCTCCACTCAGTATCAATCATTCCATGATGAGGTCGAGCACTAGTAGTAGTGTACTGGAACAAGGAATCAAACAAGTGCAGGATGATTTGGGTTGAATAATTTTCTTGGAGTGAAAGCACGGAGTGGCCTGGATTACAAAGTACAGCAGCTCTACACTCCAATTGACAGCCATTGCAAAAAGACGTGTAGCAAGTAACTTGCTACATGCCTGCAGTATTTGACTGTGCAAGTGTACAATGTATTCCACAACACACAAATACATCTCAGAGAGTCAGTGGGGAATTCGACAATGGGGGGGGGGGGGGGGGCTGATAGTGGGAAAGCCTCTTCACACACACACACACACACACACACACACACACACACACACACACACACACACACACACACACACACACACACACACACACACACACACACACACACACCTGCTGGGCCAAGGCGGCAAGGGTGACTGGTGCGGCCAGCACGGGAGCAAAGCCTGCATTGTGTTCCACTTGCAGTTGCACATGTCCTCTCCTTCAAGTCAAACATGAATGAGTAAAGTCAACTGGCTTCGCATGGGCATCATCCAAGTGGTGCGAAACAGTCAAGCAAAGGTCTTGGCATCGGCTGGCTACCGCCATGCCCGGATACCCTGGTGGCAAATGTGGATCTCACAAGTGAGTCAGGGAGAGGGATTGGGACTCCCTCAACCCAAACGGCCAAAGACACTAGACATGCAACGGACCAATCACGCACATACAGTCAACTTCGCGAATAACGACTGCGGATATAACAATTCGCGAATAACGACTGAATTTCCATGCCCAGAGCAAAGTCCCATCCAATTGTAATACATATGAGACTTCGGGTATAACGACACTTCGCGAATAACGACACTTTTCTGATGCCCCGCCGAGTGTCGTTATACGTGAAGTTGACTGTACGTCCATTCCTGTTACCCTCACACCAAGCAAGTGAGTGTCCAGCTGAACAGGGTGGCGGCGAAGGCCATCCCATCTAGAGTGGTACACACCCGTATCACTGTTCGTGATCACAGAAAGCACACTCTTGCTACCAGCGCTGATTTGAAACTTAGGATCTCATGATCCACAGGAAAGCCTACAAAGCACGTCGCTATGCGCTGCTCGTTTGTAAAGCTGAATTTATAAGGGTGAAACAGTTGCATATACCCACGTACACACGGACACATACCTTCTTCATAACATCACCTCCATTTCCCATTGGCTGTAAGTATGTAACATCACTTGAACAGTTTCCAGGTTGAGTAAGAGAGAGAAGGTGCTGAATTCTTTGCCTGTCTTGAAGTTCTCTCAACCTCAGCCGATCGTTTTCAGCATGAAGCCGGAGTACTTGCTCACGCTCCTGGAATAGAAAGACCTGCATATCACTCAATGCTTTCTGCAACTCTGCTATCTCTTGTTCTCGTTGCCTAATGGTGTGTTGAACCTTATGGTGCTCTTCGTAAGTGCAACGATATGCCTCCAGTCGTTTTACCATTTCTTCGTGCTCGACATCGAAATCAGCGACCTTCTCACGGTAATACTCCAATAATTCTCGGGATGGTCTCAGTTGACAAAGGCGTTCCTCCACAGGTGGTGGAGGAGATGGGTGTAAAGTCTGTGCCATATTTTACCAGGGCATGCCAGTGAACATGGTGAAGTGGTACAGTGAAACTGCAAAGAAAGTAGTTGAACTCAAAAAAAGGTTCGATGTCGTTGGTCGACCGGTCGGACCATTTCGGAAGTTTTGAAAATGAGTAGCTACGTCATTATCACTCCTACAAAACTAATTGAAAAAGACAAAACAACACAAAAGCTTTTGATTCAGTCATGACATCATAGAGGAGCGGCCGGCTAACCGGTTGCATCATTATTATGTCATGATGCTTGATTATGATGAAGTCTTGAATCTTGAAGCGCTGTGTTTTTCTTCTTTTTTGTTGGAAACAGTGATCTGGTGATTTTACTCCCTGCTGCTAGCTAGCTGGCCTGCCTGGTTGGAATGCTCATGAAGACTGCATAACATTGTACATGTGCGAGTCGTAGTTGTTTTCACCTGGCGTGGTTTGGATTTGTGCATCTCCCCGGACCTTCTTTGTTTGTGCATCGCAGCTGTGTGAACGGTCATCACAACATATGTATAGGTGTTACAAAAAACTTGAGTAATTTACATAGAGAATACACTGCTCGTAATCTTCGTGCTAATGGCCGAATCAGGCGCATATTGTGAGGAAGACGACTTTATCGAGGATGATGACGACTACTATAATGATTGCGATCCGCTTTATTCACCAGGCGTGAGCCAGCAGGAATCCGAAGACCCTGAAACATTCTCCTACGAGTGTCATAGCATAGAACAATGCTTGCTTCTACTCAGGAAATTGGCGGAGGAAATAGCAAGCAAGCAGAAGGTACTGGGATGACCGTCTTTTGCCTATGCATATTGGAAAGCTGCTGACAGTCACATTTTGTCACACAAGCTGAATCATGTTTTGTAGACTTCTCACCTCCTCTGTTTAGAAAAAAAAGGCACGTAAAACACCAAACAGTTGCCCAGCCTGCACCACATGCACATGACATTAGGGTACCGTAGTTCGCTGAAGTTTCAGCCATTTGCCTTATAGTTTGTGGTCCCTATACAGAAAAATTATTCTGATTCTGAATCCGCGATAATATCTGGGGGTCCCCACGTCCGTTCCTTGTGAAATTGAGGTTCAATCATTGGAATTCTGGCGAAATAGCAACATTTGCAATCTGTGGACCACTAGAACAGTAGTAAAAAACCCTGGCACCCCCATCCTTATTTCACAGAATAAAAACCCTGGGACCCCCAATTTTATTCCCGTAGCTATGCAAAAGACGTTACTTCAGTAACGTCTGGCGCTAGCCAGGGTCCACACAGCTTTAATTCCGTGTTTGTTTGTGCCGTCGGGATGCCTGGCACTATCCCGTACCTGTCCCGTACCGTACCATCAAAGACAGCTTGCCACAATATTCAAATAGGGCTTTCAAATGCAAGATCATAGCATGTTAACATGAAGCAACTCGGAAGAATGAGTATGTATGCGAAATGTATCGGTTGAATGCATGCAGGGCGATAGTGCGGGTTCGAATCCCAGGTTGTCTTGAAAATAAAATAGGAGAAATGAAAAATTTATAACGTCCCTATGTTTTTTTTGCTTAGGTCATCAAGGTGGTAGATGGTGTCAAATTACCCTCGAATGCAAAGAGAAAGTTTATTTCTTTCGCTTAGGCGAGACCAAAATAAAATCGAGATTCCCGGGCAGGACCCATGTGAAATTGGTATGGGCGGGCGAATTTTTATTTTATTATATTTTTCCAATGTATGTATGCATGTCATGCTGAACTTTTTTTACAGTATTTTCCGGTAATTTTTATTCAATTTTTTTACAGAAAACAGGTACCGTAGCCCACCCGCGTATAAGCCCATGCCCGCGCATAAGCCCAGGGAAAGTTCGAACATCACAAGGCTTCGTCGTACAAGCCCACGGGCCTAAAGCCTAGTTCACATTCGACGCAACGCCGACGGTACGGGACGTAAGGGCTTGTCGGGAGGGCTGGGGTGAGCTGTAAAATCCTGTACGATTCGTACGACACGACATGCAGAAGTCGTTGCGACGTTCACCGTCGAACGGCGCGAGTCATAGGGCAAGGTCCGTGACGGGGTGACACTTGGACCTAATTTCTCGTTTTTCGGGACTTCTTTTCATTTATATCTCCTTGAAAGAAGCGGAATCAAGTTCACAATACCAGTTTTTCGTGAAGACCAAAAAATTAGCCCTCAAAGTTGTGGCATTCAAATAATAGCCCCAGGAAATGATAGAATAGTTCGTCTGTCACGCTTCTGAACTATCCCTAAATACAATAAGTGACATGAGATCTTATGTTGCTAAAATTCAACTCAAGTCGTGCTAGCCATTCTGTGAGTTATCATGGGAAGCGCAGTGTTCGAAATGTTAAAAATTTCCAAGTACGAATCGGGAGCAGTCGGCGCACGACGCCGTCTCCTGTTCACACTCAAATTGCAGCCATTTTGTACGCTTGCGTCCCCGTCTACGCCCGTCTACGGTATGAAAAGTTGGATCGATCCAACTCTTCCCGTCGCTTCCCGATCTGTACGGTAGTACGGTTGCGTTCCCGTTCCTGGTGTTCACATTGGACGCCGTCAGACCGTCCCGTCGCTTCCCGTCGATCCTTACGTCGCGTCCCGTCGCGCCCCGTCGAATGTGAACTAGGCTTTAATTGTACCATGAGTCCATAAATTATGGACTCTTGGTCGTACCATGTACATGTATGATGATTGTACATGTACGTAGTACGAGTGTTTAGGGTTTTTTTTTTTTTGTACATTTCAACACAATCATCGGTTGTTTTTGTTTGCACAGTGGCTTTCAGCAATGTACTTCTCACTTCCTTGGGACTTTTCAATAGCACAATGTTGATGTCAGCGTATAAGCCCATGCCCGCGTATAAGCCCATGTTCTTGTATAAGCCCACCGAAATGTCCTTGTGAAACAGATAAGCCCATGGGCTTATCCGCGGGATTCTACGGTACGCGGTTTACCAGTTCGATTATTTTTCTGTATTTTGGCCAACAATTGCTCTGATCTGTACATCAGGGAGTCGTACAAGCCCGGGTTTGTGTGACTCCACGTCACAGATCTACTCACATGATCAGTACTGTACATGTATGTACTGTTCTACAAAAAAAAAAAAATTGGCTTAGGCTCGATTTTGGTGCGGGAGGGCCCGGGAATCTCTATTTTTTTTGTCTCGCCTTAGGGGCCTACGCTATGCTTTTTTGCCTACATTGTAGCTCATCATGCATGTTATTCGAACAGATGGAAACTTTTTGCAATACAATGATGTAGCCGATCAGTTCGTTGTGGTATGGTTGGGCATTGTAGCCGTCAAAGCATAGCGTAGGGACGGTAGGGCCCTGAGCTTCCAAGCTCTCTCGTTTCACGGAATGACTTCCAAAGACAATATCTACACATCCACAGAATTTGAAGAGAATATTTCATCGATGAAATTTTGCCAAAAATATCCCCAACCTCCTTTGCTCCTCAGTCACTGATTAGGTGCAGACATGATCAGTATTGCAGAGGTGCGACAGAACTTAGTGTAGTATAGCGCAACTGCAATGTTAAGTTGCTTTCGTCATTACTCTCAGTTTGAGTAAGGTATTCAATTTTTCTTTAAGTAGCAGCAACCAAGTTTTGCCACCTCGACCGTCTAAAGCTGGCAGAATGTGGTGGAGTGTGCAGCTCATAACTCGTTGGCCATGGAAATGAGTCTCTCAATGTACTGAAGCTCGTAGAGTCATTCCTACAACTTCTAATCGTCTACTTTCGGCACCGAAAGAGTAGGTCTTGTTCCTCCAGTAGACTTACTAGAGTAGCGAGAAACACAAAGTGCTGGTGTTCGTAAACCATGGCAGGGATTACTGCTCTTGCTGCTTTCTGGTGTTGAATCTATGAAGCTACCGTATTTCCCCGTAAGTAACTAGTTAGTACGTACTAACTTTCGAACTTAGCAGCCACATAAGTACTAACTTTCGGGGGTGGTACTATCTTTCGGGGAATACTTTTTTATCGGGGGTAAATGACACGCAGTGGGAAGCCTGCGCAACTCTAGTGTCCGTGCATATGATGTATGTACTGTACGGTGTCTGTACATGTAGGACGGGTACGAACTTACTATCTTTCGGGGGGGAACTGTCTTTTGGGGTGATAACCTCGGCAGTGGAAAGTGTGTTTTTTATAGGGGGGTACTAAGTCATTGGGGAGAACTAACTTACGGGGAAATACGGTAGTGCTATTTCTTGATATGTGTGCACTTTGTATTGTTCATTACAGGTACCAGTGGATGTTGCACAACTTGTCTTGCATTTTTGCAACTGGAACATGGATGAAGTTGACAAAAGGTACCGTATTACTCCGAATATTAGTCTCACTTTTGCACTGATTTTGAATTAAGGGGGCTCAGTACTTCTGCGCGCGCATCGAAATCTGGGCATGATTTTATGCAAAATTTCGCGTTTGAAAACATTTTGTCCGCGGCTGGAGAAAGTTTTTTTGCGAGAAATAGTCGTGTTCAAAAGTTTATTTTGCGAGAATTCAAAGAAACTGCAGTCCTTGAACAGTTTGAACGTTTTGTGTTTTCCATTTGGTTTGCTGGATGTCGGCGATCGATGGAGTTTCGCGTCAAGTACTTGTAGTTATCAATAGGCACGGCCGTTTTCGTGGGCGCTCAGGAACAAAGCGTGTTCAATCTTCTTCAGGTCAAGCTTCTTCAGGTCGTGTAGTTCTAACTTCCAGCTCAGATATGCCCTTTTCTCAGTCTCGCCTGCCAGTGAAGACAAGTAAACCTGCAAGATTGTCCAGAGCCCAGCTACCAGTGATACATGTACCAGTCTCAGAACGCAGGTAAGTGACATGCTTCTCTCAAGTTCAAGTGCATCCACTTGAGTGGCACTTGGAACGATATCTATTTTTTCTTTTCCAGTCGCCAGATAAAAATGTTACTGACGACTGTGAGAGAAAAACTGGTCTTGTACCTGCAGTACCTGGAGATAGTGGAGTCAGAGTGTAGTGTCTGCAAGTAGGGACTTGATCTCTGTGAGTAATGAGTGTGGTCTGGAACAGCCAGTATATATAAACAGCATAGGGACATGCCAGTGAAGTGTTCTATGTGTGGGCAGGAGAATTTGGTCAGACATCTGAGTCTCATGCTGGATGGAGTGGAAAGCATGGATCCTATGAACTCTAAGGCTGCACTGGGTGAGTTCTGACATGTGCCTGTGTTTCTCAGGAGAAGGCTGTGGGTTCAAGGTAGTATGGCTGTGCTTGTATCATTGAACTATGACAGGAATCTGTATAATATTATAAAAATGAATATTGAAATATTGGCAATATGCCTTGTAGAACAACTTGAGCAGAGACAGTCACAGACACGTAATATTATGCATGGTCAAGTTGCCACATTTTCATGAGCTCGGCCTTGACCTAGACTGTAAATGCAGCATAAAATTGTGTTATGCATGTTGTGAAGAACTGCAATATTACCCAGGCAAGGCAAGGCAAGGAATGTCAACTGAAATCATGAATCACAGCAGTACACATTGCAGCACTAGTCAGGCTTCTGTCACAGTCTCAGCAAACAAGCTGGAGTGGGAGTTTCGCTGCACCATGGGTGTTTGTAGAAGTCTACTTCAACAACAACAACAACAACAACAACGTTATATATCATGCCTACAGGTACAATCATCTGGTGTTGGCATTTGAGAGGAATCAGGGAACTGGCATCCTTGGATTATTGCACGAACCGGGTGGCGATGGGCGTGTGCTAGTCACAACGAGTTCTGCTATTGCAAAACGCATAACACATCATCTAGCATCTGGAAGACCCAACACCAACACCCCTATTTTACACACTGCTCCAGACCGCACAAGTACTCCAGCAGCTGCAGGAGGTGCAGCATCGTCCCCACTTTCTACCACTCGTGATGATGCTGCAGTTATCTGCTCAAACATTCACGTTGTGCTGCACACTGGAGGCGCGAACTCACAATACCAACAGTGGCTGCTAGCCATCGCATCCAGCAGTAACCAAGCAACTCAAGTTGCTCATTGAAAGCGTTATACTTATAATCCGTTGTTTTGTACATTGATATACCCATGCATGTATGTATGTATGTATGTACATTATAGTATTATTATTATTATCAAATTTTTGATAGGGCAATCCCCACAGGCCTAGGCTAAGGCCTTCTTACAGGGTACCCTAGAAAATGTATGTACATACTCACAATATACAACAAAGATGTGAATAACACAATTCAGTTGTGACTGTTGCATGGGGTATTGTCTGGGATTGGTCTATAGCAAATGCTTCTCGCCCTACATAGTCAAAGTCAAGCTTGAATGAAGTCGATACACTCATTTTGTCAACAATGCTGAATCTGACTTTCAAGTTGAATATGCAAAATCCGTCACAAATTTTGTTTCTCACGGAGAAACGAGATGGTGGACATAAAAATCTATTTTTGTAGAGCCTTCCTATGGCCTTGAAGAGCAGATAATGACCATAAAATGGACCATGTTATTGTCTCGATTCTCCACTATTCAAACAAGTCTAAAGATCGGTCTGCTGAAATACGCGTTTTGCCAAATCACATTCTGGGCTACCTTGGCCTCTCACAGTGGTCTGGTCATATGTTGTGGACATTTTCCAAAGGAGACAGTATTGTAGGCCCCTCCATACCCACTTTCAGGATTTTTGAAGCATTACCAACTGGAATTTTACGCCTTTAGTGAGAAATCATTGAATTTTTGCCGAAAAACATAGGTACAATAACACCCCCATAGCTGGGGAACCACATAATAAACCTATCCTTGAAATAGCCCAGACCAGTTCTCTAGGTGTCTGGCCATCTGAAAACACACAGTTCAGATCGATTTACCATAATATTTTTTGCTCCCTCTTCGGGGTTGAGCCCCCTTAAAATCTGTGAACCAGCAAATGCTTTCTTCTTGCGTGTGATGATTAGAATGTCAATTTCGCTTAGGAAGGTCAGAAAGTACAGGCGATTTGACTGAAAAGAAAGTTTTGAGACACTGCTTGACATTATGAACGTTATAGTACATGGACCATACCTGTGTGGTAATAAAAGTAGGCATCAGTGTACATGTATGTAGTAGCCTATGCGCTTGCAACATGTGCATCACGAACTACCGTAAAAGCCCGTAAATAAGTACCTGCCCGAAATAAATACCCCCTTCATTCTTTTGACTCTGTCTGTTGAAGACAAGTGCCGATAAACATACTGCCCGAAATATGTACCGTTACGGTGCGCACATGCAACGCGTAGCATGCATATCTACATGAAAGTGACGTCTCCGCTACACACAAGTCGGGTCCGAAAGTTAGTTCCTACCCGAAAGTCAGTATCCGCCCGAAAGTAAGTACGGGTGTGGGCACTAAATTCGAAAGTAAGTACGTATTGATTTACGGACAGCGGTTTTACCGTATGGGTGTACTAACGACTAGGTTTTGCAGTGCAATCGCTTCTCATCTTCTGGTGACATGCATGAGGACCGTCTTGATCCATGTTTGGGGAGTGAGTGAGGGTGCTAGTGACTCGGGGGGGGGGGGGGCTTCTTCTGTGCTACCAGGTCCACATGGATTTCTTACATGGAGATATGGTTGGTTAGTTTTATTTGAAGTCAATTAACAAGCGGGCCGCGTGACATTTGCCGAATCACATTATACTGACTAAGATTACACCCGTGCTTGAGAAGTGCACACGGCTCGGAGCTGGTATGCATTCTGCAACATGCTTGGCCTGCATTCCCCCATTTTTCTGTTCTTGCTTTGTACAATTTGGAGGTACACATAATATTTGGAACTCAAGTTACTTGTCTTTCTGTCCCCAAGACTGAATATCTTCATCAAGAAGTCTTGGTTGCATTCATTGTGCCTGTACCTTGTATAGTACATGTACTGTTGTAGACATGTGTCAATGTTTGTGAGGACTGTACTAAATTTCATGGCTTTAGTTCTTTCGCAACTACACTCGTTTCTCTCTTATTTGGGTAGTCTGGAACCGGGTGCTGCCCATAACTTTAAAATATCAGTAACTCTGAATCACTCAGGGCAAGTTGCTGCCTGATGATCGGCTAAAACCGTGAAACTCAGAGTTACAGCTGAAACGCTTTTGATTCCTTTTTTCAAGTGTGTGTAACTCTGAATCACATGCGTTTTGATGGGGAAGTGCCAGAGATCTGGCCTATGACATCACTTTTTCACAAAATTTGCAAAATAATACATGACAGTAATATTTCTACTAAAACTCTTCCACAGGGTGCCCAGTAGACCGAAGTACCCATAACTTCGAGGTCCGGATAAGATATGAGTGTAACAAATGTGATGCTGCATTTTCCAGGGTCACAGTCATCGCCCTTTATTGCATTGAAAATCTGGTCCAAAGTTGTCCCTGTGCTTTGTACCCCATGCACACTTTCTTTTTCATACTTTTACAAATAAGTACAAATTGGAAAGTGGCATTGTGCCGCCAAGAGGGGATGGTGTGGCTTGTGCTCCGATGTAGCTCTGACCCTGAGATACCAATTTACAGTGGTGTTTGATGAATTTTCACTGCATTCTTCCAGGGATTGAGGGACGTTTCCTGCATGCATGCATGGAATGTTTTGATTGGTTGAGCTAATTGCAATACAGCATTTGAATTATGTAGTACAGTTTGCCACAGGAAGTCGTGAAAAGCCATGACTCACTGGTTTCCTACAAAGATTAGCAATAGGAGAACTGCAGACAGCAGTGCACAACTGCACAAATTTCATGTACATGTACATGCGATCAAGGGAAAAACAAAGGTTAAAAATCCAAAGAAGTGTGACACATGACGCGTAAGTATTACAGAAAGTGAGGGCTAAGATAAAGAGTAAGTGTGACAAATGGGCATGAACAGTGCAGAAACAACTCATGAACACGGGGTGCAAACGCACGAAAATAACCTAAGTGCTACAACATGTTCTTTTTGCTTACACAAATCAGGCTTATGCGTACGAATACAAACAGCTTCAAGGACCTTCAACTGCTGGACACAACGACACAGTACAGAGAAGTGAATGGTCCTTGAAGCTGTTTGTCAGTTGAAGGTCCTTGAAGCTGTTTGTATTCGTACGCATAAGCCCGATTTGTGTAAGCAAAAAGAACATGTTGTAGCTTTAGGTTATTTTCGTGAGTTTGCACCCCGTGTTCATGAGTTGTTTCTGCACAGTTCATGCCCATTTGTCACACTTACTCTTTATCTTAGCCCTCACTTTTTGTAATACTTACGCGTCATGTGTCACACATGTACATGCACTGTACAATATCAGGAAAAAAGAAAGAATCAAGATGAAGTATACTGGATTCGAACTCTGCTGGGCACCATGCACGTAATGAGGTTTTGTGGCTAAAACTTTCGTTTTAAAAATCAAAATCCACTGAAAACCATTCCAAACCGGATATTCAGCTAAAACTGGCCGGAAATATAACTTTGCCGATTATTATTATTCCGACTCCCAAACTTAATTTTCTTCGATCCAAGACCCACACAAACGCAGCTGTGAAGAAAAAATTTCAAATTTGGAATGAGAACAAACTAAAAATCAAAATCGACAAAAGTCTGTTTAAAAACGCACTGAAGTGTTTCTATTTCAGTTGTAGACCCGTGTCCAGTTTCCAGTTTTGTTTGTCTAATGGTTGCCTTTTGGAGTTTGTCTAATGGCTGCCTTTTGGAGTGAAACGGATAGCCACGCCTAACAACCTGTTCTATTTTGTCCGCAGCTCAGTGGGCCCCGGGGGTAGTTTTGACTTGGTTTTTCACTGATTCATGGCTGCTATTTCTTGTACCATTAACTCTTTGTCTTGTATCCCTATGCAGGTTCAAAGCAGATGTTCAGACGCTCTTATTGGAGTCCCATGCCACACCTGGCTCTGCAGAGGTCAGTTCGTGTGTGTGTGTGTGTGTGTGTGTGTGTGTGTGTTGGGGGGTGGGGGTATGGGTGTGTGTGTGTGTCTGAGTGTGGGAGGGGGAGGGGAGCATGTTATCAATTTGACTGTGTCGGTGTTCTTATGGAGGGAAATCTTTCTCTCTGAAATTGTATGTTCTTAGAGGATGCCAATCTGACCGGAGTCCATACTGAATGAATTTCGTATCCAGATTAGATTGTGCACATGACACTCGCACTCTCAGCTTTACATTAGAATTGCTACTGTATAAGTAGAAATATTCGTCTGGAATTTAATTTCGTCTTTTTCGTCCAAGGAGCTTTTCGACTAAATTAAATGCCGGACTAATGTCGATTTGTCAAGCTTTTCCATACACTCTTATGATCCATGGACGAAATTTTCAACCGGACGAACTCCTTTTCTTTGGAGTTGGACGAAATTATTGACCGAAGAAATTTTCTGCTTGTACAGTATTAGTGTTTTTCATTATGAAGCACTACTGCATCCAAATCAGTGAAGCACTACTGCATCCAAATCAGTGAAGCACTACTGCATCCAAATCAGTGAAGCACTACTGCATCCAAATCAGTGAAGCACTACTGCATCCAAATCAGTGAAGCACTACTGCATCCAAATCAGTGAAGCACTACTGCATCCAAATCAGTGAAGCACTACTGCATCCAAATCAGTGAAGCACTACTGCATCCAAATCAGTGAAGCACTACTGCATCCAAATCAGTGAAGCACTACTGCATCCAAATCAGTGAAGCACTACTGCATCCAAATCAGTGAAGCACTACTGCATCCAAATCAGTGAAGCACTACTGCATCCAAATCAGTGAAGCACTACTGCATCCAAATCAGTGAAGCACTACTGCATCCAAATCAGTGAAGCACTACTGCATCCAAATCAGTGAAGCACTACTGCATCCAAATCAGTGAAGCACTACTGCATCCAAATCAGTGAAGCACTACTGCATCCAAATCAGTGAAGCACTACTGCATCCAAATCAGTGAAGCACTACTGCATCCAAATCAGTGAAGCACTACTGCATCCAAATCAGTGAAGCACTACTGCATCCAAATCAGTGAAGCACTACTGCATCCAAATCAGTGAAGCACTACTGCATCCAAATCAGTGAAGCACTACTGCATCCAAATCAGTGAAGCACTACTGCATCCAAATCAGTGAAGCACTACTGCATCCAAATCAGTGAAGCACTACTGCATCCAAATCAGTGAAGCACTACTGCATCCAAATCAGTGAAGCACTACTGCATCCAAATCAGTGAAGCACTACTGCATCCAAATCAGTGAAGCACTACTGCATCCAAATCAGTGAAGCACTACTGCATCCAAATCAGTGAAGCACTACTGCATCCAAATCAGTGAAGCACTACTGCATCCAAATCAGTGAAGCACTACTGCATCCAAATCAGTGAAGCACTACTGCATCCAAATCAGTGAAGCACTACTGCATCCAAATCAGTGAAGCACTACTGCATCCAAATCAGTGAAGCACTACTGCATCCAAATCAGTGAAGCACTACTGCATCCAAATCAGTGAAGCACTACTGCATCCAAATCAGTGAAGCACTACTGCATCCAAATCAGTGAAGCACTACTGCATCCAAATCAGTGAAGCACTACTGCATCCAAATCAGTGAAGCACTACTGCATCCAAATCAGTGAAGCACTACTGCATCCAAATCAGTGAAGCACTACTGCATCCAAATCAGTGAAGCACTACTGCATCCAAATCAGTGAAGCACTACTGCATCCAAATCAGTGAAGCACTACTGCATCCAAATCAGTGAAGCACTACTGCATCCAAATCAGTGAAGCACTACTGCATCCAAATCAGTGAAGCACTACTGCATCCAAATCAGTGAAGCACTACTGCATCCAAATCAGTGAAGCACTACTGCATCCAAATCAGTGAAGCACTACTGCATCCAAATCAGTGCATCCGCTTGGTCCACCCACACGTTCGCTTGTACCAGAAAGATTAAAAGTGGGAGTTACGACAAATGATTTTGGAGGGCACGACGAAATAGAATTTTTTTAATGTGAAGGTGACGAAGCAAACGCTGATGGTACATGAGGCAATGACTGAATATGGTAGAATAGCTCATCTTGTGTACACACTATGTCCAGCAAATATGGTATGCACATTGTGTGTCCCATTGTTTTCTGCCTGCTTTGGAATTCCTTGTTTGGTCATGTTAGGACTGTCAATGTGGTATACCAAGCGAATGCAGTATTTGCTCGGCCTCTTTACTTGAATGTGATACTCAACTGGACAAGTTGCAAACAACATGCAACCACCGCTTTTGTCAAGACTGCTGGGCAGCTCATTTCAAAGCTCGTATTGATACCGTTCCAACAATGGGTAAGAACTTACCCATACGTGTACTTCTGTTTGCAGTCTTTCATTGTCGCTGGTGCCACCTCCGATCCCTCCCTCGCGTTACCACTGGAGTATTGCAACACTGCATAGTGTTTTTATCCGTTATGGATCTTTGCTCTAGCGGAACTTGTCTTCCCTTCGTTTGATTGAAACGGTGTAGGAGCATTAGAAAGTTGTCTGGGAAGATATTTTTGGCAGGGAGTTGGCATCTAATGTATCACAAGTACAAGTAGATAAATTAGATAAACCTTGTTTTTGTTCAAACATGTTGTTGGTACTCTTAAATGTTGTTGGCTGACAGCATGTAACAAGGTGGAGGACACTGTGTTCGGAAACACTGACCTTTCTACAACCATCCACGGTTGGTAGAGAGCATAAGAGAGGTAAAAAGAAGAAAAACAATTCAGGATAAAAATAGCTACTATTTTTTATGAGTACAGTCAGACCTCGCTTAACCGCACACATCCGTTTTCCACAAAATTATCTGGATAGGCGAGAGAACCGGATAATCGAACACGGGTTTTGTTGGATGCATCACATATTCTGTACATCTGTAACCAGCTATGTTCTTCCGGATGGCGAGTGATCCGGATGAAAGAGGACCGGATAAGCGAGGTCTGACTGTATCAAGAAGACATCCAGGAGTGATCACAGAATACAAGACTGACGTTACGAGAAGTCTAAAAATTCCCCTAGAATAAAGAGGGTCAGAAACCGGGTCTAAGACCCATACGGTTCAGATGGTCGCAACCGACCGGGGCTCTACCAACCGTGGATGGTTGTAGAAAGGTCAGTGTTTCCGAACACGGTGTCCTCCGCCTTGTTACATGCTGTCAATCAACAACAAGTATAGCGCTTATAATTACGTCAAGCACTGTGTTGAAAATTTGAAATTGGTCTCAGAACTGCAATCAAAAAAGGAAAAGAAAAATCAACCGATTTTCGGCTCTGAGGCATCATCAGGATTGATAAGAAACAAACAATGAGATGGACCAAGTATAGCAATCTGGGTAGTATAGCACTCTGGGTAGTAATACCACAGCACTCTGGATAGTATAGCGCTCTGCATTGCTGACTAGTTAGCACCCACATTGAGCACTCTGATCTGTTTTCAAGGTCACACTATCCAGAGTGCTATACTAGTCTCACCTCACTTTTTTTCTTCTCAGTCCTGATGATGGGCCAGAGCCGAAAAATCAGTTGATTTTTCTTTTCCTTTTTTTGTGAATGCAGTTCTGAGACCAATTTCAACGGAGTGTTTGACGTAATCATTGATGAATTGGCTTCAGTGGAGGCTGTGAACCCTAGAAAAGATATGGCATTTGTTGGAGAAGTCTTTGTTTGGGTTGTAACTGTCCTCTTTTTTTCCAGCCATAGAATGCCTGGCATGTGATGTCCATATTGGTGATACATTTGTGTGTCAAGTCCTGCAAAATGTCTCCAAGTACCTGCAGCTTTACAAGCGCCTTGCATTGACCCGCTATGTACTGGTAGGTGCAGGTACATGTACATGTTGGTTTTCTTGAGGGGCGTGTGGTCTTTTTGCTTGGTCAGCCTATCTTACTGCATTTCCTGATGGTTGTCATGGCGACCGAACCTGGAACACCTCCCTGCAGCCACTTCTATATGAAATGCAATAGTTGATTGTTAGGCAGTGTTGCCGTCAATTATTTTCCACTTTAAACAGTTTGAAGTATCATCTGCGTAAGCAGTCATCCTTCGCTGTGTAGCTACAACTACTGTCACCAACTACTTCAGTATAAAACAAAGTGCTGCTCAAGTGGAATTGCCAGACCTACCTGTTTCATAGTGGATAGTACGCATGCCTGCCACTTCTTGTGTACAGGCACATCCCTCGCTAACTTGGTGTCCTGGTGTGGACTGTCAACTGGTGATATGGGCCAGGGAAAGTGCACCGAAGCAAGTTACCTGTGTTTGTAGTGCACAGTTTTGGTAAGTTGGCCTTGTGTCTGGCTTAGCACTTCTGTAGTTTGTATTGTTTCAAGAAGAAGGACAAGAATTACAGTGGTATATAGCACGTCCCATGAGTACATCCGATTTCCCAGTCCAGCTAAGATACAGGACAACAGATTTAAGCTGAGGAACAATTTCTACTTCGGTCAAGCTATCATCAACGCTTATATAGTCACATCTCGCTTATCCAGTCCTCCTTTATCCAGACACCTCGCCATCTGGAAGAAAATCACTGGTAACCGATTTACAGTATGGGTGACACCTACAACATAACCGGACCTCGCCAGCCACGTACCGATGCATGGTTTCTTTGTGCAAATGGTTCTAATGTGTACAAAAGCTTCGCCGTATCCGGTTTCATGTTGCATGTAGAAGCCAGAACCAATGAGTTGTACAAAAAGAAGGGGTTGTATGACTCTCTGACCTACTGGCTGCATGCACTTGTCATTTTTCTTGCTGGTTTTACAGAGTGTGTGTGCTAACTGTACTGCATGGGACCCACATACACGAACGCACAATTTCGCACCCTTTTATGACACATACATACCATACGTATAAAGTATGTGTGTTTCGTTATCATGCTCCCTCGCCTATCCGTGTGTATGTGTGTGTGTATGTTGTGTGTGTATGTTGTGTGTGTGTGCGTGTGCGTGTGTGTGTGTGGTGTGTGTGTGTGTGTGTGTGTGTGTGTGTGTGTGTGTGTGTGTGTATGTTGTGTGTGCGTTGTGCGTTGTGTGTGCACATGTGTGTATGTGTGTGTGTTTGCATGCAGTGTGTGTTGTCTGTGTACTGATCTCTGTGTGTATGTGCACATGTGTTCATGTTTACAGTTTTTCCTGCCGTGATGAATATCATGCACCGCTGTCATGCCAACTGATGGTTGAGTGGAAAACTCAGCGCGCAGCAGAGTCACAGTCTGCTATATACATTGTGGCTAATACCAAACCGGTATGAATCCCCTGCTCCTCTTCATAGTTGCTAATACGGGGAATCTCCTGCCCCTCTTCATAGTTGCTAATACGTGGTCAGTATTGTATAGCAGGAAATTTTCGGACGGAATATATTTTCGGACGATTTCGTACACGGCCTCTGATCTGTTGTACTTGAGTACTAAAATAAATTCCGTACTAAAATTTGTTCCTGTGGTAATATATGTACACTGTGCACTATACATGCGTACCGCATGCGAACACGTGCATTTAGCATGCAGCACTGTACGAAAATAAAATCCGTGCGAAAGGTCGAAATTCGGCTTTGTCCGAAAATATTTCCGTCTGAAAATTTCCTGCTATATAGTATATTACAGACAGACTTGCTTTTGCAGCAGCCACCTGGTTGACTTCACTTCATAAATGCTCTTGCTTGACATGGCAGACTAAATCAAGTTTTGACATGGTGCCACCTTGCTCAATTCACGCATAGCTTTGCTTAGGTCACAGGGTTTGAGAGCACAATTATAGGAAATGATTTGATGTGGACATGTATTTTGCTTCCCTTCCACTAAAACAGGTCAGTGGCATAACGCAGTAAAAAATGATGATATTGGAGTACAGCATTACATTCTGCAAGAATGTTCATGCCGGGTGTTGATGATCTTTACAAAGATAGGAGTGCGTATGACCTTTTCCTTCACGGTTGGAGCCTCACGTATTTAGGAGGATTATTGCTGACATTGGTCTGTAATGCTCTGTATTAAATGCTCTGTACGGGTTTGTACGGGTCTGTACTTCGCGGTATTGTTCAATTTGTTCTGTATTGTTGTATGGTGCCCTCTTTCTGTTTGTTCCTACTGGTCTAGTGTCCGAAATGCAAAGTGCACATTGAAAAAAGTGGCGGCTGCAATCACATGGTATGATTCTAGACAAGCACAGTGATCTTACAAGGGATTCTGGTCATTCCGGTCAGGCGACCAATTTCCGATATGAATGCCTGGGTCTGTGGCTTTTGCCAATTACTTGCAGGTGACAATAATATTGAGGTGCAAAATCCATTGAAAAATCCACCATGAAATCCACAATCTATGCGAGGTAAAGCCTGTTCAGTGTTCAGTGTTGTAAAAAGTACTAAATACCTAGGTGGCAGGTCCTCTGCGTGAGGGCTCGCTCACACTGCGACTGAAGCACTTGTCCTTGTGCTCAAGTGGCCAAGATGCATGGCAACGGCATGTACATGTACGTGACCTTAGCGCTGCGGTTACATTTGAATGTTTTTACTTTCACCTCTCGATGGTTTGCCACGGCTTATGCCGTTGAGTCGCATGGACGTAAATGTATTTAGAAGGGAAACGGGCCTAAAGTCCAGGTGCATGATCATCAGGCAGAAATTTTGAACTACTCAAGCACACAGGCGAGGAGAAAACTGGCCCTGGTGAAGAAGAACCAATCAGCCACCCGTCAGTGTTGGAGGTTTGAGCTTTCGCCCCGGCCTTTTATGAAATAAGAATACTCATTGCCTCTCTCAATTTCAACTTGAAATGCAAACATTTGTCTGAACGCCGAGAAATTTGAAAATGTAGCACCTCTCTTTGGACTTTTTAGGCATTGTGTGAGCATGGCTATAATAATTTTATCACATTTCTGCAAGATGCTGTCAATTTGATGCGAGCCTCATGTCGCAGTGCGAGCGTGCCCTTACCGGCTTGCATAGCTAGCTGAGCCACAGGTAGCTTGTCCACTGCACTCTTTGTGTCACCATCATTGCATTTCAAATTGTGTTTGCCCTTTTAGGTTTACTGTACTGGTAGAAATACTCAGCAGGAATTAAATTCTCGACCAAGGAATTGTCGGAGTAAATTTAATTTAATGTAGGACTGACGTTAATAACATCCATGGACGAAAATTTCCATTAGCAAACTGCCTTTTTTTGGAGTTGGAAGAAATTATTCACCCACTAAATGTTCTGCCTATACAGTAGCTTGCCTGTAATACCAGCTCCTCTATTCAACAGTATTTACCATTGGATGTAAAGCTGTGTTCATAACTCTGGTGTGCACACATATGGAATTAAGCACCAATGGGTTGTATTTTATTTTAGAGTATCTCAACCCGAGCTTTCAACATACGGTCTCTTCGCTGCATACATCACTTAAAAATATAAGTTGAATTCACCAAATTTTCGGGCATGGCCCACCTTCACTGTGAAAACAGTCAACAAGGTCAACTGTTTTTCAGGTACTCTAATAATAAAATGTGTATTAAAGTGGCTGCATGGGAGTCGGCGAGTGCTTGGAAAAGTTTGGATTGTATTTGTTCGGAAATCAAATTCAACGGGTTATCTTTTTGATAAATCCTGTGCAACTACGTGGTTGTATTTTTTTCAAAGATATCTCATCCAACTGGTTGTATTTATTCAGAACTGGCATAGTCACCAGTTGCCGTGATCAAGTAACTACTTCGAAGTAGTACTTTTTAATGTCATGCAACTTGATTCATGGTGTTTTGTGAAAACTTGAGTGCAAGTTTGGTAAACCTTTGGATCCACTTTTCCCACATACTGTACAGGCAGAACATTTCGTCAATCAATAGCTTCGACCATCTCCAAAGAAAGGGATTTCGTCCTGTTGTAAATTTCGTCCATGGGTGATGAGAGTGTATTGAAAAGCTGGACAAGTCGACATCCGTTCGGCATTTAATTTAGTAAAAAAAAGCTCCTTGGACGAAAAAGACGAAATTAAACTCCTGACGAATATTTCTGCTTATACAGTACAGCATGTACCGTATTTTCCTGAGTATAAGCCGCACTTAATTAAAACATCACTAATCCACCCAAAAAGGGGTACGGCTTATGCTACGATGGTCAAATTAACGGTGATAATGATAAATAGGGTAGATGTCTGTATTTCGTGCCAAAAAATCTGGGTGCGGCTTATACTCCGGAAAATACGGTACATATTCATGTCAATAAACCTTAGGATTCATTATGTGCACATAAACTCGATGCTTCTAGTGGCAGAGTATGTACACAAGAAAAAGGGCAACTTAACGAATGTGTCATTACAATAAATGCATGCACATCATTTCTTCCGAAGCGTTGCAGAATCTGCCCTATCATAGTCTTCTGTAAAAATCTAAATTCACAACTCATGTGCGATATTTGTTCTTTGTGCTCTTATGTTTGTAGGTTTGCCGCCATTGCAGTTTCAGTACGTAGCACATGTTCTCATCTATCTGTATCTCTACTGTAGTGTGCAATTGCTACAGTCATGGGATATATCAGACTTTCAGTGCAGACTGAGTCCTTGTAATACATTACCTCTGCAGCCTAACAAATGCTAGGTATTATCCGCTCTTGTACATGTACCTCATTGTCCACAGCACACTGCGTGCAATCACATCCGACAGGGACCGAAGATATGTGTTTTTCATTCCAGAGATTTGCTAGACGCAGTACATCCGGCAAAGGCAGGGTCCAGTGGTGTGTGTGTAGGGGGGGAGGGGGGGGGGGGCATGAAGGCGTTGTTCGCACCTACCACATGGGCAAATGACATAGGCGGCGGCTGTACTGCCTAGAGAAGCTGGATTGGGATTTCGGTATCCTCTATCCTCTATACTGTACTGTCTTCTAGAAGCCTGCTTTGAATGCAAGCCTGATTTTTGAAAATAGAACATTGCCGTATAAACATTGTTTTAGTGTTAACGTACATTGAACACCTGATTTGAATACAAGGCTGGTTTGAATGGAACCCAAACGCTGACATAGGTTTGTACAAGAATACGCCGAGCCTTTATGTGCGGCATTACGGTATGTCCCGCACCACCTTACAAACCGTGTAGAGGTTTTCAACTTTTCATCTGCACCAATACAAGCAGAAAATAGGGGCCTTGGGCACATAGTCTCTCGTTGCCCAGTGTGGTGTGTCACCCCCACTAGTCTTGTCCGAACTCTACCTCTACACTCCTCTGTATTGGCATCAGCGATGGTAATGTCTGAGGGAGAGGCATCATCACAGGTATTCTTGCTGGCAGCTGATCTGGCTGCCCAGTATTCTATATTGTTATTGTTGGTGGAGTGTTTGTAAATTGCTTCTGTCACCTCTTCACCTAATTCTTGGCTTTTACTGTGCTTTATTTCTTTATTGTGCAGACTATTGCTGGGTGTGTGGAGGAGGTTAGTACTTTCTGGTGCCCGTGTATCTAATACAATGTACATTTTGTGTGTCACATCCCTCTTCCCATTTGTATTGCAGCACAAATACCTGCATGTATGCTGTACTGCAAACACACATACAAACACACACACACACACACACACACACACACACACACATGTGCGCGCACACACGCTCATGCACACACACACACGTGCACACGCGTGCACACACATGCACACATACACGTGCATGCACACACACACACACACACACACACACACACACACACACACACACACACACACACACACACACACACACACACACACACACACACACTGACCCTGACCTTGAATGCGAGTGGGCGCATGATAGTCGTGGTTACTGTTCCCTTCGTGAAATGTGTTCAGAAAGACGCATGGCTGTTCAGATCACCGGGATGACTTTCTTTCTTGGGAGAGCAAGGATGCTGACAAGGCATATGCTCTCGGTTAGCCGAGCTTCAACTGGTGGTCTCGTACAGTCCAGCATTGCTATTGAATTGTGTCTTGTGCACGATGGTGTGGTGCAGGAAGGACTTGGTTCTACGGTCCCCACTATCTTGCAGCCTGGCTTGTAATACATACAGTGTAGAGCATTGACGCTAGACATTTCCGTGCACACATACACTCGCTGTTGACCCTGGTACTCTATCCGCCCATAATGTCATGCTCTGTTATTGCTTGCAACTCACAATCTTGGCTACTGGGAGACTAACGGAAGTCAATGACATCTTCTTCATTTTCATTGGCTTGCGATAAACAGAACTGCCACTTTTGTATGTGTGGGTGTGGTTGTTTTGTGTGTGTGTGTGTGTGTGTGTGTGTGTGTGTGTGTGTGTGTGTGTGTGTGTGTGTGTGTGTGTGTGCGCGCGTGCGTGTGTGTATGTATGTATATGTATGTATGTATGTGTGGTGCATGGGGTGTGAGTGTGGGTGGGGGTGGGTGGGTGGGTGCGTGCGTGTGTGCGTGTGTGTGTGTGTGTGTGTGTGTGTGTGTGTGTGTGTGCGTGTTTGTGTGTGTGTGCGTATGCTGATGCTCAGATTGGAATTCGCATGGTACCCAGTACTATCACTGTAGCAAGTACAAGCCAGATACAGTGAAAGAGAAAGAGAGAAGCAGCCAGCAAGAATCTATGAAAAGATATTTCTTTTACTTTGAGCGGGTAGGGGGCCGTCCATAATTATTATCGATATTTTACACGAAGAGGAAAAGTTTCGTTTATGGGTGGGTAGGTCAAGGGGCCCTCAGGAGTGTCTGGTTTTTTTTTCTTCATAAATGACGCCGCTTATGGATGTGTGAGCGTGTGGGAGTGCGTCCTTGTCATGTCTCTAGTGCCTACACATGACTAGTGTTCCCATTTACATGAGAAAATAAGCCTGTGCTTACAGTTGCTTGTCACTTATCTGGCAGTCAGTCATCCGGCACGTCAGTTATGTACATTGTTGTCCTTTTCCTTTCTTCATCCTAACTATATTGGCTCACTATCCAAGTTCAAATTAGCTTCAGTTATCCAGAATATTATCCAGGATATCCAATTATCCAACAGCGTCCGGTCCCATGGGTGCCGGATAACTGACACACAACATTATTAGCACTGGGCTTATTTAGACACCGGTTTAGTTGACGGAGGTATGGGCCAGTCTGGGGGGGGGGGGGGGGGGCTTCAGATGTGTGACTGCGAATTCTGTGTGCATTTTATTTCTCAAAATGCACATAAACACACAACTGTAAAGATGCGTGAATGATAAAATTTGGATCAAGGTGTGCTTGTTCATGTTCCTGCTGCCTTATTCGGCTGTCACTTATTTTTCCCAAAAGTTGGAGCAACACCAGAATAGATGCAAAGACCAGAAACTGAAAAGGCGCACTGTCCTTGAGGAAATGCTTGCAGGTTCAAGAGGCAAAATAAAAAAAACATGGGAAAACTCGTGTATATGCCCAGTGCTTTTTTTCTTGATCGTCAACGGGAGAAAATGAGCTTGGTGAATATGGTCAGCTCGGTTTTTAGGGCAGGGTTTGTTTAGCCTGGGGCGGGCTTCATAAACCCTCCTAGTTATGTAGACAGGGTTCGCTCCCCACACCAGAGCTCGCGCTATTCCGCCGACTTGACACTTGCCTGACTCACGCTGACTCACGCTTCTATCTGGTGTTCACGAGGTGTTTGTCGCGCTGGAAACGGAGCGTCTCTGTAAGTTTGTATCCTTGGTGATGTTTGTGCCTGGAGAGCACTATATAAGTGGTGCTCTTCAGGCGCAATCTTCCTCAGCCTACTCAAGCTCAACTGATGAGGGGTGATTTCCCCGAAACACTGTGTATTGAGCAGGGAGTGGTGCTTTCTTGCAGGTTTGCTGAGTCGAAGGTTCGATGGACGTCTCGTGTTCTCTGGATGGCAGTCGTGACTCAGTCAAGTGTCAAGTCAAGTCGGCGGAATAGCACGAGCTCCGGTGTGGGGAATGAACCCTTTCTTACAAATCATCGCCGAAGTCGCAACCATTATTTTGTATAGTTATGTAGACACGCCCTAAAGTGACTGGATGGCAGATCTAGGAAGGCTTACCATAAACCCAGAGACGAATAATTCCGGGCTTATTTTCTCGTGTAAACAGGCAAGAACAGAGGCACTCAGCATACCGCCTCTGTTTTCGGTCATTGCACGAGTTTCCTTGGACTTGCTTGTACATGACACACACACAGTACAGGTGTACATGTCATATGGTGTGTTGTGTTGTGCAGTACCAAAATCATCATCAGAGCATCCTGTTGGAGGAGCGTACCCGTGAATCTGTACAGCAATCCATCACTCGGCGTAGTGAAGGGCAAGATGCCACGGGCACTTGGATTGACCACCAATACCTTGCTGATGCCTTTGAAATACTTGCGAAGGTGTGTTATTGTGCTATACGTGCGCACATGTGTGTTTTTGTGTGTGTTTGTGTGTGTGTGTGTGCGTGCGTGCTTGTGTGTGTCAGTGTGTGTGTCAGTGTGTGTCAGTGCCAGCTAGTTCAGTTGGTGGGTACACTTGGCAGATAGTTTTGGGTATGTTGCCAACGAGCTCGGCTGCTTGAAGGTGTAATGTTGCATCTACCACCTTTGTTGATTTCAGGGTTCATATACTGAATTTGAAGTATACATACCTGTTAACCCTGGACTACTTCTGGCTAGATGAACTCTTGTGTAATCAATGGTGCTAGTGAAGCTTATATCTGATTTACTCTGATTTAGCCACCAACCGTGACTAGTAACAACTTCAGCAAGTATTACCTTCTCTGGGGCAGGGGTAACTGCAGTTGGATCTCAGGACGGATACTCTGGTGCCGTCAATCCTTTTTTTGCACCTTGTCCTCACCCACTCACTGAGGTGTGGTGAGCCCATAAGTGGGATCATTTTCAACTAAATTTCAAGTCCACCCGGAGTTTGGGGATTTCAGGGGGTGTCAGCCATTGGGTGGTTCAATAGCTAGTTGAGTAATCTTTCCAAGTTTGCTTTTGAATCTCTCTCCCCACTCCTGGGGAGACCCACATGACAAGTTTGGGCAGTGAGTACAGTGAGTGAGTTGTGTGTATGTGTGGGTGTAGGTGTGTGTGTGTGTTCATACGCTGTGCGGCGTTGTGGAGTTACAATAGTTATCAGGCACCATTAGGTAGATGATAGATGTATCACGTTTACTGTGGTATATCTCACGAAAGTCATTCTTTTCGTGAAAACATCAATGTTTACGGACAAGCCCGGCTTAACCTCCAGTCCCCGTACCCTCGAATGTAGGACATACAGTGCTGCTCAATGAAATCTCATTGAGTGAGTCAAGTATGTGGCGGGCGCTGTGCAGCCTTAGGCTGCAAACACTGGGCGCTGTGCAGTTTGTACAGGGTGCAAAGGGCTGGCTCCCTTGATCAGATTCCATTGAGCAGCACTGTAGAATAAACCCCAGCCGTGGCTGCAAGGATATCACGCATGGATTTGTCGCTGCTGTTGCTGTATGTTGATGTGACTGCAGAGTCGTCATACGCTGCAGTATACTTACCCGTATGCTTATTACCTGGGTCAGACCGCTCAAGAGAGAACTCTGGTAAGGATTTGCTCTTGCTCAGCATGTTTGTCTGCTTCTCCTGCACCTCCAAGTGCGTCGGAAGCGGTACGACTGGTACGGCTCGAGCCGTACCACTTTTGGCTCCCGGTGGTCCACGCGGAACGTCCAAATCCGGTGTAAAAAAATGGGGGTATCGAGTTTGTACATGACCACGCGTGATCGTGAGCCGCGATCCGTCACCGGTGCACCAGTCAGGTCACTGCACCGTGTAACGCGTGACTAGACTGTCGACTACGGAACTGCATGGCATGTATGCGTCATGACTCGTAGATCTAGTTGGTCTCTTTGTTTTCCTTAATTAAAGGGGAAGTTAAGGCAAAAATTAAAATTTCACCAGTTGTAGTCTTCGTGGTGCTGAGTCGAATGGTCTTGGTCCGAGGAAGCTGAGACGCTCCCTTCCCACTTGAATCCCAATCGAACTCGCGCACTTCCACCGAAACTGGGTGACTGCGCCCTACGAGATGGGGATTTGTATGCAAAATGTCACTAAAAGCGCCATTTCGTTCTTATAAAAGCACGGATGACCGCGATTGGCCCATATGTTGTAGTCTTTTGGACACTGAGTCGACTGGTTTTGGTCCGATAAGGCTGCGATGTAGCGTTCCTCCTTTATTCCCAATCGAACATGGTTGAACAAGCGGTCACGTGCTCCTGCGTACACCAGTCACCTGGTCATTGTGCCTGCAGGGTACAACTTACTAGCCTGTTTGACCTTTTTTGGGTGCACTCCTGTCACTCGAGTTGAACTCGAGTTGAACCTTGGTGTGAAATTTGTCGCCTGCTGGCGTGGTGACCAGGTGATTTGGGCACCCAGGAGCACGTGACCACTTGTTCAACCATGTTCGATTGGGAATAAAGGAGGAACGCTGCATCGCAGCCTTATCGGACCAAAACCAGTCGACTCAGTGTCCAAAAGACTACAACATATGGGCCAATCGCGGTCATCCGTGCTTTTATAAGAACGAAATGGCGCTTTTAGTGACATTTTGCATACAAATCCCCATCTCGTAGGGCGCAGTCACCCAGTTTCGGTGGAAGTGCGCGAGTTCGATTGGGATTCAAGTAGGAAGGGAGCGTCTCAGCTTCCTCGGACCAAGACCATTCGACTCAGCACCCCGAAGACTACAACTGGTGAAATTTTAATTTTTGCCTTAACTTCCCCTTTAATGACTTCGTACCTTTGGAGACCCTCTGAGTTGGGTATTTTGAGTGTTTTTTGAAAAAATGTTCCCGGGGAAGTTCCCCCCCCCCCCCCCCGACCCCCTCTGACTGTCGAGCCGTACCACTTTCTACCTCCTTCCGACGCCCCTGACCTCTTGAGTCTTTCTTGTATTAAAGCTTGAAATGATTTTTGCTTTGATTTCTGCTTTCTGCTCTCCCGATTTCTCACCTATGTGCACAATGTAGCTGGGCATGCTGCTATATTTCACCTATCCGTGTCTTGTTGTTGAATTCTTTATTCTCATGATTCATCAAGAGTTCTTGTAGTTATTGTTGTTATTGTTGTTGTTGTTGTTGTTGTTGTTGTTGTTGTTGTTGTTGTTGTTGTTGTTGTTGTTGTTGTTGTTGTTGTTGTTGTTGTTGTTGTTGTTGTTGTTGTTGTTGTTGTTGTTGTTGTTGTTGTGGTCGTCGTTGTGGTCGTCGTTGTCGTTGTTGTCATCGTCGTTGGTACTGTCGGTGTCCGTTTTGTAACGAACTTTCTGTAAATGCGGAATATCAATATCTTTTCCAAGGGAATTTTTGTATGTTCTCCTCGGACCCTCCACTCTTCCCTGACACACACGTCAGGGTTCTAGCCAAAGGAGGGTAAGGGGGCACAGCGCCCTCCTACTCTGATTGAGCCCTCCACCCGTGAAAAAATGGCGCCCCCTACTCATTTGTCGATGTTTGTGTATTTCATGCCATTCAACGGAAATGCAATAGATAGTCACTAGCAGAGGGTTCATAAAGCATATTTGTCTGGGGTGAAGTCGGGGGTTCGCCCCGGCCCCGTACGACAATTTTTGAACATGGAAAAATGGGTTACGGGTACATATAACTGTTTCCCTGCCCCTCCCCCCTAGTATTTTGACCTGGCTAGAAGCCTAGAACCCTGCACGTCTATGCTGGCCATGAACTTATTAGTGAAGCGAACAGGACTTCAACCCCCAGTTACAACATTTCGTTTTGCAAAATGTTCTGATTTGCGGATGGCTCCTAACTAGTTTTCATTATTGTTGTTGCTGGTATGTTGTGCTGTTGATGTGTTGTTGTTGGTGGTGCTGTCATTGTTTGCATTATTGCATCATTGCAATGCTTGTTGTCCTATCCCTAACGACTGTGATGTTTTCATGTCCAGTTGGAGCATCAACAAGCACAGCTGGAGCATGAAATTGAAAGCCTCTCCTTTCTTATTGAGCGTGCGGCTCTTTCGGATAAACCGGTAAGACATACAAGTACTTGCAGACTATCCCTAAGATTGGGTAATATTGGACGCTTTCAACTACACATTCTGGACCCAGGTTTTATAATTCTCGAATGATCAGAATGAACGGATTGCGGCCTTGTAAGCGAACGACTGGAATTCATCACATTTTTTAATCATACCCCATAAAGATCGTGAAAATGACGACACAGGTGCACATGGGCACTAAAAAGAACATGCATGCATGCGTGGAGTGCGCAAATTCTGTCCGGAGCATTAGAAAGTCCGCCCTCTCTTCAGAATCGACGGAATTAATTCCGTCTGACGGCGGAATTTGTGTAATTGAACGGTGCATGCATTGTAACTAATCCCGAACTGGAAGAGTCCAGGCCAGTTAGGGGTGTTTTACTGTGTGTGTGTGGGGTGGGGGGGGGGGGGGGCTTCAGGGAGTGAAGCTAAGCCAGAATGCACTGGTATGTTATCCAGTAGATGTTATCCAGTAGATGTTATCCAGTATGGCTGGGATAATAAGAAAAGGCAAGGTGCAGCACTTGAGCTCACCAACACAGGCTAAGAGTGCGTTCTTATTTTCTGTTGGTTCTTGTAAGTTGCTCTCCAGGAAGACGGAGAAACGGGAAGAATAAACGAACAGATCTATTTCTTGAGTGCACAATGCCAAACATGCCATGACTTTGGGAGACATGAGCATGTTTTAGCAAGAAGAGACCACAGGTGTTTGTGATCCCTGGTTGCCTAATGGCCTGGTTAGACCGCGGCAAAACGAAATAATCCTGTGATCATAATCCGAATCTCCATAGTAACTTGATGCCAGAGCGGCGAAATCAAGTTTTGACGCTCCAAAAGTAAACAAGAATGGACCACACTTTTCCCCTCCGAATAGGAGCTTGACACTGGTACGCCGTTAACGCTGATACTCGCTGATTTTTCATCTCGATATCGAAGTGCTGAGTGGCCGCGGACAACAACAAAACTGAAAAGAATGATTGCAAGGATTGCAGTGAAGGTGTTGGAGATGCTGAGGTGAAGGAATTTGAAAGAATCCGTGGTTGGAATCCCACTTGGCATTCAAGTTGAATTTTGAATTTCGTTTTCCCCAAGTGTAGTGTGATTGTGATTTTAATCCTGAACGGATTTCTTTTTTCGTCAGGCCCCGCAAATTTGCCGCAGTCTGACCAGGCCCTACAAAGTGGTATTCCACTGTCCCGGGAAGACGGGGGTGTTTGGGTTCGAATCCCCCCTTGGATCCTTCTATTGCAACGTTGGTGCCTGGTAATGATTCGAACCCATGACCACCCCCCCTCCCCTTATGAGTAGGTACGGTGTGAGCACATAGCACCGTGTGTAGCTGTAAGCTTATGACTTGTTGTCAGCTTTCACTCACTGCAGTGCGTAGGCCTGTGTATGTTGGATTGAATATAGAATATTAATTCCCGTAGCTATACTATGTCTGGCGCTAGCCAGGGTCCACACAGCTTTAATTTGGTGTTTGTTTGTGTGTTTGTGTGTTTGTGTCACGCCTGGCGCTATCCCGTATCTGTCCCGTACCGTACCATCAAACACAGCTGGCCGCATACAGCTGGCCGCAATATTCAAATAGGGCTTTCAAACGCAAGATCATAACGTGAAGCAACTTGGAAGAATGAGTATGAATGCGAAGTGTATGGGGGAATGCATGTAGGGCGATAGTGCGGGTTCGAATCCCAGGTAATGCCTGAAAAAAATAGGAGAATTGAAAAATTTATAACATCCCTTTTCTTTTTTTGCCGTCATCAAGGCGGTAGACGGTGTCGTATCACCCTCGACCGTACCTGTCCCGTACCTGTCCCGTACCTATCCCGTTCCGTACCGTACAATCAAAGACGGCTGGTCACAATGCATATTCAAATAGGGCTGTCAAATACAAGATCATAACGTGAAGCAACTTGGAAGAATTAGTATGTATGCGAAGTGTATCGGGGATGCATGCAGGGCGAGAGTGTGGGTTCGAATCCCAGGTTATATCTAAAAACAAAAAGTAGAAACTTATAAGAATTTAGAACATCCCTATGTTTTTTTTGTCTAGGTCATCAAGGCAAAAAAGCATAGCGTAGGGCCCTAAGCTTTCAAGCTCTCTCATTCGGTGATGGGTTTAATTACCGTAAAATCCCGCCAGAGCGCCTCGTCTCTCCCATCCGCCCCTTCCTGACTTCTTGTCTGGGACGTGATCCTCGTATGACTCTTCTGTCACAGTCTGTGATGCCGTACTGCACTGCAGACGCGTGCTCGACCCGGCTGGAAATGTACGCAACAGTGCCCACCCTTTTGACCAAGGATCGCACAAACCCTGAGTTTCGACGGGTCTGTACGACTCTTGGCTCTTGACCTTTGGTGGGTGTACGAGATGCACGAACAGTTTTCGTAGGGTGAGTACTTGTTCATGTGCAGTACTGAATGCAGCAAGTAGGACTCGTCCATCCGCCCTCCCCACCCGAAGCGTCGAGGAGGTAGGGGCGCTCTGGCGGGATTTTACGGTACTAGTATTCTATTGATGACTCGTTTCTCTGAATTGTATCTGTGAGTCTCTCATTATCAGTCAATTTCCCTTATCCCAAGCTATCCTAACGCCTTCTGAGCAGCGTCTGCCCCGAAGGGTTCAGATCATTGGTACTCTACTGTACTCGGATAACATACAATGATGACGTGATTGTGTGTGTGTGTGTGTGTGTGTGTGTGTGTGCATGCGCGCACGTGTGTGTGTGTGTGTGTGTGTGTGTGTGTGTGTGTGTGTGTGTGTGTGTGTGTGTGTGTGTGTGTGTGTGTGTGTCTACATGTGGGATACTGTATAATGTATGGGTGCATTCTCGCAGGCTATCCAGCTTCATTGTCTGAATGTCAACCGGTGGCGACAATCGCTGATGGGCAATTTTTTCCAAAAGACGTGACTTGCCTCGTTTCTTCCTGCTTATTGCTGAAGTCATCATACTTCCTGTCCATACCTGCCAATGTTATTGGAAATCAGTGGAAACGTGCAGGTGTGTCTGCTGGTGCCGGACCAGCTTCTGCCTCTGTTTTGGATTGGGTGCTTTCTTTCTTGTGCAACACACTACCATGCTGTGTGTGTGTGTGTGTGTGTGTGTGTGTGTGTGTGTGTGTGTGTGTGTGTGTGTGTGTGTGTGTGTGTGTGTGTGTGTGTGTGTGTGTGTGTGTGTGTGTGTGTGTGTGTGTGTGTGTGTGTGTGTGTGTGTGTGTGTGTGTGTGTGTGTGTGTGTGTGTGTGTGTGTGTGTGTGTGTGTGTGTGTGTGTGTGTGTGTGTGTGTGTGTGTGTGTGTGTGTGTGTGTGTGTGTGTGTGTGTGTGTGTGTGTGTGTGTGTGTGTGTGTGTGTGTGTGTGTGTGTGTGTCTGTGTGTGTGTCTGTGTGTGTGTCTGTGTGTGTCTGTGTGTGTGTCTGTGTGTGTGTCTGTGTGTGTGTCTGTGTGTGTGTCTGTGTGTGTGTCTGTGTGTGTGTCTGTGTGTGTGTCTGTGTGTGTGTCTGTGTGTGTGTCTGTGTGTGTGTCTGTGTGTGTGTCTGTGTGTGTGTCTGTGTGTGTGTCTGTGTGTGTGTCTGTGTGTGTGTCTGTGTGTGTGTCTGTGTGTGTGTCTGTGTGTGTGTCTGTGTCTGTGTCTGTGTCTGTGTCTGTGTCTGTGTCTGTGTCTGTGTCTGTGTGTCTGTGTCTGTGTGTCTGTGTCTGTGTCTGTGTCTGTGTCTGTGTCTGTGTCTGTGTGTCTGTGTCTGTGTCTGTGTGTACACTACCATGCTGTGTGTGTGTGTGTGTGTATGTGTGTGTGTCTGTGTGTGTCTGTGTGTACACTACCATGGTGTGTGTGTACGTGTGTGCGTGCGTGCGTGTATGTATATATTATGTGAGAGCTTGTGTGCACACATTGCTCATGGCGGTCAGTCCTCCTGTGGATATCAAAATAGCCGTTTTCTTCATTGCTCACGGTACTCAATGCACGTCAACTTTGTGTAGCTGCTTCTAAGGTTTTGGTTGTCTATTATGCTTCCTGCTGAATCTGTATCTGATCTGACTCCCTCCCTCTTTTTCTCTCCCTGTCTCCGCTCTCTGCGCTGAGCTTTTTGTTAAAATAGATGTTTTTCTTCATTGCTCACAATACTCGATAAATGTCAACTTTGTTTAGCTGCTTCTAGGGTTTGGGCTGTTTTATTATGCTTCCTGCTGAATCTGTATCTGGTCTGACTCCTTCCTTCTTTTGCTCTCTCCGATGATCATTATGTTTTTGTTTTCTCATACTTTTCTTATTTTCACTTTGTTTTCGCTGTCAGGTACATGTATGCGGTTTTATCCTTCTGCATACTGCTATTTTATTGATTTGTGACTTCATTTGGTCCAACTGACGATCTTTCTATGCTGCATGAGCAGCGGTCATACATTGTTGATCTGGTTTTTTTGAGACCGTATCTGCTACTTACACACCGTCCGGGGCTAGTCCAACCGCTGTCACTGAAGTCTACACCTGTCCTGTTTTTCTGTTATTTTAGACAAGTTGTAAATAGTGATTTTGTCTGATATTTTCATGCTGATATTTTTACCAATGCTTTGCAAGTCGGTTTCAGCACTATGTACTATTAAGAAGACTGTACTAGTATTGGAGGCATGTGTCTTTTTTTGATTCTGGCAAGATTGATCATCTGCTGTGGGTGTCTTACCACTCGTAATAATGATGCTTGTGCACATGTGCTTGTAGACCCTGTAACCATGGTGACAACCCTCCGACTAGGGTACCAAGCAGTGTAGAAAGTAGGGCTGGGTCAGGTAGCATTTTCTTCGGGTTCGGGTAGTTTTCCACGGGTACCACGGGTAGCCAATCGGGGAATGTTTCCATGGTAACACCACAATGCTTCCCTTCCCTTACACACTGGATAGACATGCGGAGTATTACATGAAATCAAATTTTAATATTTGTACACATGCACTGTACATTATGTCATCTGCGACTTCGGGTTTTCGGTACCCGTCTAGCTACCCGAGGTCCTCACGGGTAGCTAGACGGGTACCAGACAACTCGTGCACTCGTACACTACTAGAAAGGCACAAAGATGATTACCCAGTAATATTATAATGCCCATCACATCATTCTGGAATGTACTATTATTGGAGACATGGCGGTGTTCTTATAATATGAGCCAGCGCACGCGAAAAGGGGGCTAACGTACTTGCACTTGAAGCTGTCAAAAAGCACTTCAAAGTTTGACGTGCGCTTTTTGCGTGGATTTTGCAGTTGAGTCGCTGCGATTCTGTATAATCTCGCGCGTTTTCGCAATTTTGCGCAGGTCGATGACACAAGAATGGGGTTGACGGTCTAAGCTTTCCACCAGTCTTTAGATTTTGCAAATCGGTCCTCGCGTTGCTGAGATTCATTTGTTTGAAGCTGCGCTTGTTTTCTTGAGAGAGCTTCTTTCTGAACAATTTTTTCTCGCTCTTGCCATGAGTCGAAGAATAGTCTTCACTGTCGATGAAGCTCTTGCTGACGTGCTCAGGGAGTGCGAAGATGAGTTTCATGGCGATCCTGAGAGTAGCTCTGTCGCTCCACTTCAAGATTCTGGTCAGGAAATTGCTGAACAGGGCGTAGAATCGCAAGTAACATAGTTGACACTGACGACGCAGACTAACTCCACTACCTCAACTCCAGGGTGAACTCCGATGTTGTAACAGCGAACTACCTGCATGTAGAGCCTCAAAGCGACTCTGATGAGGCTGGAGTTATCGCTGATGAAGAAAATCTAACAGTGGAAGACGAAGCAATAGTGGAGAACGTCCCTGCTGCTGCTGCTCCTCCTGCACCTGAATTTGCTCAGCTCCAGAATTGTGGATGCAGCAAGAACTGCCTCCGTAAGTTTGACAGAGTAACTCTTGAGCAGTCAACACTAAACATGAGGGAAATGGAGAAAAGTGAGAGCGATACCGTGCTATTGGGAATTTTGGAGTCCTGCCGCCACAATACCAGTCAGAACGCGCACGGGGGAAAGCGTCGCCGCGAGTCCTTCGCCTACAGCTTCCACGGTGTCGAGGTGTGTGTTGGTGCGTTTCGCTACGCGTACGACATCGGCAAGAAGCATTTGTATGGTCTGCAGCAGCACCTGGAGAAACACGGACTGGTGCGGACTGGTGCCCAGGGACCATGGCAATACAGGCAGGCGACCACATAATGCGCTCCTGTACGCTAACGTGAAGAGATGCGTTCAGTTCATCAACAACCATGCAGAAGTCAACGGCATTCCGCATCCAGCCCCGCTGCGTGGACGTGATGATGCTCCTCCAGTGTTCTTGCCTGCTACCCAAACATACAAGAGCGTACATGCCTTGTACAAGAAATCTTGCGCGGCAGCCCAAGTTGAGATCATCGGTGAATCATCGTTCCGCTCCATTTGGGTCGACAATTGCCTGGTACGAGTGGGACCGCTTCCTGCCCGACTTCTTCCGGCCAATCCCAGCCGTGAGCCAGATGCACCACTTCACCTTCGCTGCTGCCACACCAGGAATGGTTGAAGTGCATTGGCGGAAACAGTGACTCTGTTGACATCCTGAAGACCACCGTGCAGGCAGTGCAAGATGCAGGCTTACCACCGGTCATTGCACCTGGAGGTATGAGCAGAGCTCGTCGCCAGTACTTGCACAAAGAAATCCGTCCGTTTGTGCAAGAGCAGTTCAGGGATGACCTATGCCCACCAGTCAGTGACTAGACAATTAGAGAGCCGTAACTGTACAGTTCTAGTTGTGTGCTCTTCTGTAACTGTATAATATTCACACCATGTTGCCGATGAACACAATCGCGGAAATTGGCTGCTTACGGGCCACGACTGTGCATGTGTGTGGTCTTAGTCGAAAATGCTGATTATGCCTCTTCTGTGTTGGTCCAAACTAGGCATTAAAGTGCACTCTGTACATCATGAATATTCTTCAAAGGCTTCATCAAGAAAATAGTGTCAGCGTATGTACAATGTCTAGAACAGACAATCATTTTTTTCTTTGCACCGCAAAGTGCGATACTTGCCAACAGATCACCTGGCACTAAAACACCTATAACATTGCAACGAAAAGAGATTTTTTGATGCGGTTTTTTGCAAAAGATTTCTGAAACATGTTGGAGTAACACTAGATAGTCAGCTCGAAATGTCAGATTTTAGAGGTTAACCCCCTTTTCGCATGCTCTGGCTCATATATTCTGATCCACGCCCTACAGGCGAAAGAAGTGTCAGCACCGAAATCCGCACAGTCGAGTAAAGCCGATTATTGTAGTAATAATTATAACCGAATGTTTTTGTTCCCTACTCATGGAGTACAGGGAATAATGGAAAAAGAGGTTTTGATCTATGCTTTTGCTCTATAAGTTACTGTATTTGATATTTTCTCCATTATTCCTTGTACTTACCGGGTATTACCCATGATGAGAAGGGAACGAAACTGTTCGGTTACTATTGTTGGCTCTTTCTGTTCCATTACTAGTATTGTTGTATTGGCAGAGTACATATGCATGAATGTTGCTACCTTCATTTCAGGGATGAACTCTTTCAGGATCACCGATGGCTCTGCAGCAAGACTGGTTGTGTCAGCGGCTAGTGTAACCTGGGTGATCCTGACGGACTTCATTCCATGTTGGCTTTGGCTGTGTGTGTTTGCGTGTCGCAGTGGTTTCCCGGGGAATGAATGGCTCATCAGTCATGACTAATGTCGTCAATGGTGACGAATTATTCATTGCGATGATAGTGCATGATGGGGAACGAAGGGTGCATGCACAATTAGGTCAGCTGATTCATGAGGGCTGTACAGCCAAAGCCTTGCGCATAAAGCTTGAATGCTGTGCTAATGGATTGGCGAATTTGGCGGCACGATCGGGGTGCATGAACGTGATGTCATCCAAATGCATGAAAGCCGAAACCCCCGAAAAGGAGAGACTGCTCCAAGTTGATGCCCGAAAGTTCCAACATTTCGACTGTAGATCAAGTGCTGCTCAGTCGACTTGCAAAACATCTGGAATGAATAGCATGCAGTCCAGACCCCCGACCCCGTGTAAGAATACGGTTCTATCACTTTAATCGTCGCCAAAAAATCCGACCAAGGCTGATACAGTAGTATTTGTCTGGTAAGCACTGCACACACCCTGTTCAAGGTAAAGAGCAGCACTATCCAGACAAGAATGTTAGAAACTTTGGACTACTGTCATTGATAACGACAAAGAAGGGGTCAGCTCGGGGAAAAAAACCCGAACCCAGTATTTTAAAAAGTACAAAAACAAAAAATTGAAAACAGTGATAACAACATAATCATCTTCTCATTCCTTTCGTAAATTGCTTTTCTTAATAATCATTTCATTAGGTCAAGGGAGTTGCTTCCCTTACTGCAATAGCACAACAGTATATTATTGGTGGTAAGGCTTCCAAGCAGTGAGTGCATCCCCTACAGGAAACATTTCACACTACTCGTACATGCACGTGTGCATACCCTCTACATAGGTACGCGTATAAGGGTAATGATAAAATGGAATTGGAACATTGATGATGGAGCAAGAGAAAAGAGGATTCACGGCAATTTCTAGTTTGGTATTTATTTCCGTTTTTTGTCCAGGTCTGGAGACACATTCCAATAGTAGACTATTTGCAGGACAATGACAAGGTTGAAGAACGTAGCGGAAACAAAGGCAGCAAGGATAGCCGTGTCCTTTACCTCCTGGAAAGTTGTATAAATACGACCAAGAGTTCCCATGAGATTCATAAACGATGTTATCATTGACAGTTGACCAGTATGACCATTCGTGAAGTTTGCACCAATCTGGAAGATCTGTACCACAAAACACACGTCAGTATACAATGGAAATTCATTAGTTCGAGGGAGGTGAAAGGCGACAAAAAAGAAAGAAAAGAAAAAAGTGCAAGATGAGTTTTTGCATTTCGTGAAAACTACTTTTCGCAAGAATTCTGTATAAGTCAGGAACCTCTAGCAGTGCTAACAGCAGTGTAAAGGTTCCCTTTGTGGGGGTTTTCTTATTCTCGTACATCGTGCTACGAAAAGACACTTTCTAGCTTTACAATAGCTGCACATCCTTGCAGTGATTGCTGTACTGCCCAACCAGGGAATAATTTACTTTCGATTTTTGCATAGCAACTTTGCTACGCAGAATAGAACTTGAATAGCAATTCGAAAATGTTGCATAGCAATTTTCTTTAACACTTGACAATATTGTCCTTCTGCAGAGCTCATCAGAGTTCAAGCTCAGATCACAAGTACACTGTAACACCTTAGTTGCAAACCTAGCCTGGTGCCAGGATGCATAGCTCAACACTTTCAGAGCTTTGTGCATCTATTTCATCCCTAAGAGACAACACACCTGGCATGTACACTGTGCATCATAGGGTACAGTGAAAAATCAACATGCATCGCAGTTTTCTGCCACACATTTCTGAAGTTGCTTCGCACCGCAGCAGAATTGCGTAGCAAACTGCGATGCGATACCGGTTAAATTATTCCCTGCCAACATATCACAATGGTAATGGTACCCTGAAACAAGCTGTGACACCGATGCAATGTAACAGGATACATTAAAAGCATACTACGCTACGTCAATGATGCTTTGATCATACCTTGCTACTTGCTGTCAGTGGAATAGTTGCTTGGAAGAGGAGAGAAACAACTTGGAGGGGGACAAGGCCAGAGCAAAGAAAGTAGACACACGTAGAGCACAAGGGTACAAAGGCAAGTGCAGCTACTGGAGAGTAGGCAAAGTGGAAGAAAAGGGCAACTTGAATGATGGCTTGAACCAGGACAAAGAGAGCTTCGCCCCAAGTGCTGTACATTCAGAACAGAGAAAAAACCCACATACACACACAGACACAGACAACACATCCACACACACAGACACACAACACACAACACACACGCAAACAAGCACGAGTATAACGGATATAGCCTGGGCACATGCTACTGCTAGTGTTGGGGCAGTCAACAGATGGAGTTTCAAGGATTGGTCATGTGATTTTGCCAAAATCTTGTCATGTCTTGTCACATGCCATGTCAGCGCGAAACTATGTTGTTGCAAAGGTGATGGGAAGCAAAGATACAATGTCACAAAACAAGGCTCACCTGAAAGGAAAACCTTGGACTACGTTGTAGGACATTGTAAATATGTATGCCATTAATTCCAGAAGAAATGAAGACAGACTCAATCCAACAACGCTCTTGGCTTTCAATATCTTGATGATCTGGGGTAGCTTGACTGTTGGCAAAAAGCAAACAAATGAAAAGAATGACATTCAAGTAAAGGACATAGACTATGTAGACACAGTGAATTGGATTGCCGGTCCCCCCCCCCCCCCCACTTTGTGGTGGGTCTGATCTACAGTAAAACCCGGTTTAAGTGACCACCTGCTTTAACGGCCGTTTTTCCATGCACGGACAGTTCTACACAGAAACTGCACCGGGTACGACCTCCTCCCTTGCGCGACCAGCGACCGACTTTTAGTGTACCAAGTGCCATATCTGAAATGCATACAGCCATCAAAACTACTGTAAGTCTACCAATTTTCGGCGCATATAAATTTCGGCCTCCCAGGGCTAAAACACATTTCGGCGTGTACTGCTGCTGCCTGTATATACTGTCACACTGAACCTTGCAAAACAAAAATTCGGCCGCAACAAATGTTCGGCCAAAAATGCCCAGGCCGAAAATAGCCAAAAATAAATATGTGCCGAATATTTGTTGACTTACAGTAGCCAAAAGTGGTATCCTGGCTGGCAGGTTCAGTGACTGCAACAGGGTTGAAGCACGCTCAGTTACACAGGGTTCGCAGCCAACCAAGCACACAAAATTCCAAACTTTTTCCAAACCAATTCGTGCAGGAAAAAATAATTATAAATCTCTTCTGCATGACTGTCTTCTCCACTCCGAGTACAACCAGGGAGTAGTAAAATCCTCCCTCGTACCACTACCATCAACAAATTCACCAAGGTGCATTGCGATGATAATGTATCGCCTTCAGCAACTAGAGCCCCTGAAAATAGAAGGGGAATTCATACGACGAGAGTTCCTCTGCGTAAGTTCAAATCCGCCTCCAGAGGGGATTCCAATGAAACATTAGGGAGGTTCTGCTCTACGTGTTGGGAACGCGACGCAAAGAATCACGCGAACTTTCTTCGCGTTCCCGTAACGTAAAGAAATGCTGTTCTGCTCTACGCTTCACCTAGAGAAGTCACGTGGAATGTGTACTGGGATTTTCCCCTTCCATATTTGGCAGTTTTCTGCATGCAGTTGATCGATACCCGGCAAATCCGTACGCATTTTCTCTGCGCGTGCCACAACGTAGAGAACCCCATCTCCGCGTAGAAATCTGGAGCCAAAACACGCCAAGCCGTAGACTCTAACCCAGACACCTGCTCTCTACGTGATTTCTCTACGTTTCACGTATAGCAGAACCTCTCTAATTACATAGCTGGTGTCCATCTCAGCGCAAAAGACGGCTTCATCCTCGCCAGCAAACTCATCTGAGTGCGAAAGGACCTCGCCATCCTGCTGTCCCGACTTCAAAGAATCAAAAGTCGAGCGCGAGCGCCAGTAACGAAAAACGGCCAAATCAAAGTCATCACCGGCCGCGCTTGAGCTGCACCGAAATGACTGTACGAGACTCGTACATGCAGTGAACACCACGCATCGCCAGCGCATCTTCTATCGCGGCACTCAAAGTAAAAACGGCCACTTGCACTGCAGGAGTGCAACACATCTGCGGCCAAAAAATCGAAAAATTCAAAACTTATTCCCAACTTTTTCAAAAGTAGTGCCATTTCAAAACTTTTTCCAGACCTGGAAAATTGAATTATAAAATCCAATTTTTTTTCAATACTTCCAAACTTCGCTGCGAACCCTGTCAGTAGCGAGTGCATGCTGTCAACAGAAGTGACAAGTGACAGTGCAGGGTGCGCTGCATGCACTTTTTCGGGTTAGTTGGACAATAGTCTTTGCTCTGCTTAAACTCGTAAGAATTAGCGCTTCGATATATGTACATGTATAAGGCTTTTACAGTATCCCGGACCTACCAAGAATTGAACCAGCCACAATACCAAGCCCCAAGAGTTTGCTGATCAGCATCTTGTTGCAAGATTCTGCAAGACAAATACAACAACAAACACCAACACATTCAGTAACATTGACGTTAGCCAGTTTGTCCCGGTCAAGGACAGGACTATATTGTGCTTACAATAAACTCCGTATGGCCTGATCGTGAAGGGTTTCCCAGCTTGATTTCCTACCCACCCTCTCCATTGTATCCCAGTATTTCCTCCCCATTGTACCCTGTGATTTTCTACCCACTCCTCCCCATTGTATCCTATGATCTCTCCCCCCCCCCCCCCCCGAGGATGCACCCAGTGTGCTGGCTGACAGTGCTCAACACCGCGGAGGCAGAGCGTAATACACAGAACAACAAGGGTAAGCTAGTCTGGTTTGTCGTTACTCTGAGTTTCATGCTTACCGGTACGCAATCATCAGGCAACATGAGGATGCTATTGACATGTCGGTATTTATGCCAGGAAAGATATTGGTGGATCTTGTGGTGCTATGAATGGGATGTTGATTTGGTAGCGTTAAGCGCTGTGTATAGGTTTCAGGGCGAGCGGTGTTAAATACCGGCATGGCCAATAGCATCCTCATGTCGCCTGATGATTGCGTAAGCATGAAACTCAGAGTAGCGACAAACTAGACTAGCTTGTCCTTGTTGTTTGTATCCTATGATCCCCTACACTCTCCATGAGGTATAATCCTCTGGGCCATTATCCCTATCAATAAATCCAACGAAAGTAAGACAAGTAGACAGCTGTGATATCATCTCATTTGTGATAATTGAGAGCATAACAAGTGCCTTGAAATCTAATCCTACGTATAGGATTGCGACAAAAAAGGTGATACTGAACGTGCTTATTAAAATTAAAATAGGAGTTATTTACCATCGAAAATGTTGAAATTGGTAATGTACTCGTTTCGACATCGCTGATCAGGTACCACAAGACCAATGATGTTCTCCAGCGCTGCTGTCGCCATCCCGATACCTTTTCTTCCTGGCCACAATATAAACTATAACGATGCACAACGACACGTACTAACTACTACGACTTCTACTTGTACAAAACAGTGAAAACACTTGTGTAGTCTGTAACTGTGGTACTGGTAGTACAATGAGAAACTCAAAAAGCAAAAAGCAAAAAGCAACAAGAGTCAAGAAGAGTCAGTGCAGAATGCAAGTAGATTTTTGACATCATGACGTCACACACATCAGGAGTGCATCATGTATGCACGTACAACATGTAGATCTACGTGTTCTGACTCTTGCAGGGCCAGGGAGTACTAAAAAACCGTTTTTTTGGTACTCCCTTTAGTACCGTACTCACGTGATCACGTGATCACCTACATGTACATGACGTAAGGCTGTTGGCTGTTGGCGCCTTCCCGACTTCATCCTAGCTTGACTGGTCGAACTGCGAGTGCGAGGTTCAACTGCTTGAACTCCGAAATGCAGCTGCACATGCTACCTGACATGATGGAAGAAGATGTTCAGGTTATTTTACAGAAATGCAAGTGAGGTTTGAGTTCGTGCCCACAGTCGACTAGTCATACTGATAAGTAGTACTCGACTTTTGAGCTCCGACTTTTCCAACTTACTTGTGTTTTCGAAATCAAAAGTTTTAACACGAAGCAGATGAAGAGTTGAATCTGGACTTCGCTCCCCATGTCTTCTAACTTGCTATGCTTGACTTTTATTGTCCACGATAGTCAGATAAAATGGTGACCGATTGTCATAATGTCTAGGCTACAAGATAGCTGGGATGATGTTGTCAATGCTGTGAGTGTGGACACTATCATGTTTTTTTTTTAATTTGCTGGCATTCAAAGCACGTTTTCGGAGCAATTGGTGTATTTGTATTATTTTGTTGTTTTCTTTGAAGACCGATGATGAGAAACATGGGAAGCTGGTCAGCTTTCTTAATACGCTAATTGGAAATGGACAGCTGTGGACAACTCTGAGGTAACAATACTAGTACTCTCGTAGAGATTTTTTTTCATTTAGCGGAGTGTAGTGCAGTGCAGCCAGTGATACAGTTTTATCCTATCTCTCATTGAAGGGGGGGGGGGGGCACACAGCAAAAATATGGTGCACTCAGTAAATGCGGATTCGCACTACAGTGCATTGCATGTAGTGCTTACAGGGACATATGCCACAGTGTATTTTTAGGCCTCTTACGGGCAAATTAACACAATGGTTTAAAATGCAATAAGGCTGCGTTCGTTTTTAGCTACTTGGTAGAGTAGAGTAGAGTCACTCTACCGATAGAGGTAGATGGTAGAGGCAAGTGTACGAACGCTGTTCTACCAGATCTAGTAGTTTACACGATGCGTACGTGAAATGTTTCTTTTTTTTATGGAGTTGTGTACAAATCCTTGATGTTGCTGGAAATCCCGTAGCTCTACCAACTTCTACCGGATTCTACCAACTTTTTCCCGGTGGAGCCGGTAGAGGAAAGTAGAATCTACCCTTTTGAGTAGAATTTTTTTCAAAAAACGAACACCTCTACCGAAAGAAGTAGTTTCTACCCAAACCTGTAGATCAAAAACGAACGCCCCCTAAATCATACACTGGAGAAGAAATCAGAAAAATGCATGTGTAAAATAAAGAATTTCAAACCCAAACCAAAAAACTTCAAATTGATTTTTTATAATTAAGAATAAACTCAATCGATAAACTCAATAAACTCAATTCAAAAGGAGAAAAACAATAACAAACCAAAAAAAAACACTGTACTAATTATTAAGAACACCAATAACTTCATCAAGAAAAAAAAACTGCCACAGTGTATTGTATGCATGCGCTGCGGTGTATTGTATGCATGTGTTGCGGTGTATTGCATGCATGTGTCATGGTGTATCAGGGTTGGCACCACTGGTACGACTGGTGCGGCCATGACCGTACCAGATTTTACCAATTCCAGTGTTCATGGGCTGCTCCGTATGCAATTGATTATCTGGAAGTATGTAATAAGCTATCCTCATGGGCTTCTCTCTAGAGTCTCTCCCACTGTTCTCCTTGTCAAGTGAGGTCTACTGCGCTAGCTGCTTATCCGTTGCTGCAGGATATCATGCACAGAGATAGAGATGTATCCTGCCAGGATTTTGAAATTTGACACGGGGAACTTGGGGCTGCACCACCCGTCAGGAGCTGGCTCTGGGCCCGGTGTGTATTGTATGGTGTATTGTATGCATGTACGTTGCATGCCGGTCAGTATTGGCCCACTACATTCCACTGTGATAGATGATAGATACATTTCCACTGTGATAGATGACACTACCGTATTTGTAAATCTTCACAATAGAGGTTGTGCGGTTCAATTGCCTGTTGAGCCAACTTCCCTAGATTTCTTCTTATTGCCTCTCTCCAGGGAGGTAGCAGAAATGTATTTTTATTCAATAACAATTACAATGACATCACTGTTACTATTATTTTGACTGTCTGATTGTTAGGGATGCGAACAGTGTTGCTGATTTCTTGGCAAATCTTCTCCTGGAGAATAGTGCCGAGTTCCATCATGATCGTGGTGGGCCTGAAGCAGACTTTGGCCCACATTGCGTGCAATACTTCTGTACATCTGGATATTTGCTGCTGCAAGCGCTGTCTCTACTAAGCTGCGAGGTATGGTACAATTTCTGGCAAGATGTCTTTGTTTTAAGGGCAACAAATGATGGACCTCCAGTATGTTTATATTGATGAGGTTGGATGCAAGTATTTGAACACGATTCTCAGTTGTTTCATCCGAAATGTGCAGTATCGAGATTGTGTGCTAGTTGAACCAAGTGTCACAACTTTGATTCCCTTCTCTCTAAATCTCTCCAAGTCTCTCTTCCATCCTATCCACCTCTACTCTCGTCGACCTCTGTTTCTCTTCCTGTTTTCTTTCCTCTCCACTCTCTTCTAGTTGCAGACTAAATATTAATAATAAGTACTATGGGGATAGCATTACAAGTTAATTTGCAACCATCCTTTAAAGTTAGTTTAGATTCTTATCAGAGAAAGCCATACCCAAACTATATCTGGTAATGATGGCCAATAAGGCCCAAGCTGGAGCTGGATGCAATGATGTGGGGACCGAGCAATCCAACTATGATCACAGGATCTGGTATGTAGCATCCTGTTTAATTTTGTATTCTCCTCCTCTCTCATAATTATCTTCTAGCCTGGGATGTTTGTAGTACGTGTAACAATAGGTCTGCGGCAGTATGTGGATCATTTTGAAATTCTGGGAAATTTGCACCGCTAGCCCTCAGATTTGGCCAGTCTTTAATTTCAACCAAATCTTTTTTGGTAGTGTCATGTAATTCTACAGGAAGCGTGAGCTCCACATAGGAGCAACCGTATTCAAATTTGGAGTGCCATGGGCAATATGGGACAATTCATGCAAAACTTGAGTGGGTGCATCATCACCCTGAGGCAGAATCTTAGGACGTAGCTCTGCATTGAGTCAAGAGTACATAAACCAGAGTGTGCAACTGTGCATATCAGATCTTAAACAGCGCAGTTTGTGCACTACGTCACCCTGATGAGGTCAGCCAAGCCGCGACTTGCGTACAGCTCAAATTTTCATGTTTCATAGCCCGGAAATCAGCCAAGTTTGCTTGATTTTAGACGTCCTGTTTCAGGATTTCGGTGTTTTTGTGTGACTGTGTACGCTGCGTACATCCACCGACAAGTAAACTCACCAGGCTATCCGTATCAAAAAACCGAAATCAGGACAAACTCAGTGACCTGCACCACCGTGACTGGTTACGCAACTTTTCACCGTACCTGTGGCCTAGCATGCTGTCAGAAATGACGCACTGCACGGACTACGCTCCCACAGGAACCATCCAGAGTTGCACACTCTGGTTTATGCACTCTTGATTGAGTGGAATGCGCATTTTTCTACTTGTAGTGCCTTTCTCGCTGGGATGCCCTTGAAATATGTCTACAAGAACAACGAAATCCACCCCCAACGAATTTGAACAGAATGGAATTCCAATTACTAGAAGGTGCCTAATTATTACAGTGTGGGAAGGAAAACTGTGTTGGGTGCCAGGAACTGGATTCTTGCCGGTTTCTCTTCAGTGCAGTTGCACTTATTGCGCATAAACTGTGTATAACCACGGCACTGTGTCATCAGCTGGATATTTTAGCAAGAAGTATACCCCCCCCCCCCCCCAAATGGTACCGCTCTCCACTTTATGAAGGGTATCCTAATATTAAGTTCCACTCGACTCGGAACAATGTCCCTTTGGACTCTGTCCCAGTAATCTCTTATAAAATAGCGGGGAGGCGATGCACTCTTTTGCACTTTCCGAGCTATTAGCTAAGATTACCACTGTGCAGAAGTCTGCTACTGTATTGTATTGCCAGCTATTGCTGCTGTATTGCCAGCTATTGCTGCTGTATTGCCAGCTATTGCTACTGTATTGTCAACTAATGCTGCTGTATTGTCAGCTAATGCTGCTGTATTGCCAGCTATTGCTGCTGTATTGCCAGCTATTGCGGCTGTATTGCCAGCTATTGCTGCTGTATTGTCAACTAATGCTGCTGTATTGCCAGCTAATGCTGCTGTATTGCCAGCTATTGCTGCTGTATTGTCAACTAATACTGCTGTATTGTCAGCTAATGCTGCTGTATTGTCAGCTTATGCTGCTGTATTGTCAGCTTATGCTGCTGTACTTGTCTATTACTGTAGGTGTACTGATTAGACACAGGAGTAGCAGGACGAAATGTATGTACTTCATTGCCATTGTCTTATACAGGCTCTAAATTTTGAAGCTGGCTTGTCCAAATATATTTGTATGTGTACCTCTTTTTCATTTCTGCTTGTATCTGCTAGGGTGTTGTTTGTCATCAGCAACTTGCTAGTACTTTGATGGAGCAGTTTTCAGTCTGCATCGACTTGTTATTAAAGGAAGACGATGGGCTCAAGTCTAACACTAGTAGTAAGTTTGTTTCCTTGAATCTTTCCATTCCAACAACACCGTTATCTTCCATTGTCTATCAAAGTTTCCCATTTCGCTAGCAATGGCACATTGTGACGGGAAGTGGGAGCTAAGAGCGAGACATAATTGCCTTCTTTAGGTTGGATTCGAGTGGAAATATTTATGACGGCATAGGCAATACACTGTTATGTCGAAGCTTGAAGCTCCGATGTGCAATCTGTCCAGCACTGCCCCTGTCCATTTTTGGGTTGGTATTGGATATCACATATCAGGGAGTTTATCTTCAAATATTTTTCGATCCTTCTGGTTTATCGTGCAAGTACTTAGCACAATACCTGTACAGTATAATATAGTACAATATGTCTAACATAGCTGTTCGCTATCATCGCTTCCGTGATGGGCATGTCTGACTGTTTGTGTGTGTGTGTGTGTGTATGTGTATATGTGTATATGTGTGTGTGTGTGTTTGTGTGTGTGTTTGTGTGTGTGTGTGTGTGTGTGTGTGTGTGTGTGTGTGTGTGTGTGTGCCTGCGTATGTGTGTACCAGGGAGTCGTACTCAAACTAGGGAGGTGACACGGCACAGAAATCCGTGTCACAGGGGTTGACTCGCACCCGTGACTCCTCGTTGTTATTTTTGGAATAGTTCAGTCCAGTTCAGTCCGAAAGGTCATACTCGGATCGACTCGCCTTCTGTACTTCACCTCCAAGCGTGCCGCATGGGTGTCTAGTTTTTGAAATTATTGAGGCAGCACATTTCGTTTACAGCCCATCACTTGCCAGTATTCTTTGAAGGACTACCAGCAATTTTTTTAGCTCCTGCCATGTCCGAACTACTTGATAGCAGTGATGGCAACAGCAGCAGTTATGAGACGGCGTGTAGTGTTGCGGTAACTGTTCAGAACTGTTCCGAGTCGTATCCTAGATTAATCCGAATACTAAAAATTGACCCAAATATTAATTAATTGCACATAACACGAAGCTGGTTTTTGAAAATTGTAAGTCGTGTATCTGCCCCATTTCTTCTTTATGACTTGCACAATACACCAGTCTTCCTAAACAACACATTTATAGCAGGGGTTAAGTACCATATAAGAGAAGTACAGCCAGTGAAATACTACAATTTTGACACAAATTACACATAACACGAAGCCAGGTTTTGAAAAATGTAAGTCGTGTATCTGCCCCATTTCTTCTTTATGACTTGCACAATGGTCCAGTCTGCCTAAATAACACATTTATAGCAGGGTATGTACCATATTAGAGAAGTACAGCCAATGATATTGTCATGTCTAAATACTACAATTTTGACACAAATTACACATAACACGAAGCTGGTTTTTGAAAATTGTAAGTCGTGTATCTGCCCCATTTCTTCTTTATGACTTGCACAATACACCAGTCTTCGTAAACAACACATTTATAGCAGGGGTTAAGTACCATACAAGAGAGCTACATTGTACATCTAGTCATACTGTCATAAACAGCCAGCATTTTTCCTGCAGCAGTCACACCACCATCATCATTATTCCAGGGAAATCCTCTCACATTGTCAGCTCCTACGTCGTTAGATACAATGTAGGGCCCTACTACTAGGGGGCTGTAGGACCGGCTCGTCAAAAATAGAGAACCTGAACAAGCGTGCTCGGGACGTCTCAGCACTCCAGTAAAAACTTGATCAATGGCAAAATCGTTCGCCACAGAAAAATCATACTTTGCGGGTCTTGCGTTGCACGCTTGGAGGTGAAGTACAGAAGGCGAGTCGATCCGAGTATGACCTTTCGGACCGGACTGGACTGAACTATTCCAAAAATAACAACGAGGGGTCACGGGTGCGAGTCAACCCTTGTGACACGGATTTCTGTGCCGTGTCACCTCCCTAGTTTGAGTACGACTCCCTGGTGTGTACCGATATGAAGAGTTGTACGGTGTCCTGTTGACCAATTAATACGTGTGGATGAATTAGTTTTTGTCGGTGATTGCTTCCTTTGTTGATTGTTGTTTTGCACAGGTTTGTGTGGTGACCTACCCACTGTAGATGAATGGTGCACACTGACTGGCAAGTGTTGTACACACTTACTGCACAAGTGTGAATTGGATGACGGAGGACATGATGATATTGGCCCATGGCAGTCATCTGCACTGCAAGTGTCCACCTTGCTATTGCTCTGTGTGCAAGGCATTTGCTTGGAGAACGTTAACCGCCATCTACCTCAATGGAGCAAGACAGCTACTCATCAGCTTGATGGTCTATGCCAAATGTTGCAACACCTGACTGCAGCCATATCCGAACCTTGCTTCAAGCTTCAACTGGTCAATGAGCGCGTGTGTCATCTTGGTGGTATCCTGATCCGCGTCTTGCTATGTGTCTTCTATGGTTTGTCTCAACATGCTGCAGCGTGTGTTCCGCTAGTTCAGGAAACCAGACTCGTGCCAGAACTCCTTTCTCTGGCGACGGCATTGGTGGATCGTTTTGATTCCTTGGCCATCCCGCCCTTAATCGGTATGGCAGCTGATGTAATTCATGTAGTTCTCCTGATTCTTTCTCCGAACACACCTCTGCCTCTACTCATCCCACTTGTTTGTCAGTTGATTAAGTCTGATGGCTTGTCAGTAGTGCAGCAGCTGATCACAATCGATGTGGAAAAGCCGTGTGCTATCCTGTGTTCTAGGAAGAGCCACGTTCATCAGGTCATTCCGTCTGCCATGAAATCATTGTTGGAAACTGCAACTTGCTTGCAACTGCCAAGTCTTGGTTTTCCTGTGTTAGGATCAACCAGCTGCAACCCTATCAATGTTAGTTCTGCTCTCCTGCTATCAGCTGTTGACTCGGGGATTTGTTTAAGTTCCAAGTTGACACAGGCATTTTTGTTGTTTCTGGCCCAGTGCACGTGTCCAAGAGTGCTGTATGCTCTTGTCCCATTACTTGAGAGGCTTTCTCCTTGTCTATGCATCTCATCAGATGTCTGGCTAAGCAATTTGTTGATCGTCTACAGGAATTGCCAATACTCGGCTGCTCTGGGTGAGCAGGTCCTACAATACATGTTGGCAATCATCCGGAAGCTGCCTGTTTGCCATTCAATCATTCATGTTGATGGAAGTGAAGGGCCTGGTTGTGTTGGTGGGTATGCTGCAGAGCAGAGTGCTGGCTGGCCAGTGTCCTTGAAAGCCTACCTTGACATGATCTTGACCTCTTCGTTGGATATTGCTCTAGCCCTAGTCCAACATCTTGGAAAGTTTGCAGAGTGTGCTGGCAGTGCACGGTACAAGCTGTGCTGGCAAGTTGCTGTTCCGTTGCTTGAGGCAGTTAGCAAGGCTGATACAGGTGACTTGGACAGCCTCTCTTCCTCCTCTCTATCTCTACTTCAATCGTCTCTCTTGCTGTGTACCAAGATTCTGGTTACAGCCTCTGATCAGGAGCAGTTCCTTGAGAGATTTCCATGGCGTTTGATGTTTGAGAAATGGCTTGGTCACCCTCTGCTTCAGCAATTCTCCCTGCCGCTGCTGGGTGTCATTTTGTCCATTTCAGTTGAACAGGTTTTTTCGCACTCTTCAGATGATGACTGCGTGTCCAAATTGGCTGTGTTTCATCCATCTCATCGGCACGTTTTGTCTTGGATGGTTGACATAGTAGTGTGGTGCCCTGCCACCGCTAGCAGTGGTATCAGCAGCAGCGGTGGCGGCGGCGGCGGCAGCAGCAGCAGCAGCACCACCACCACCACCACCACCACCACTGGCCAGTTTGAAGTTGAGCAGTGGGATGCAACATCGTTACGCGCTTCTACCTGTCTCACGGTTCTTTTGTCACAGTGGAGTCGCTTTCCACTCATCAAGCAGGCTCTTTGGCAAGCTGGTGGCGCAGAGAAGTTAATGTCTACTTTGGCCACAGAATTGTCTTGGACTGCCTATCACAATGAGAGGTGGCACCAAGAACAGCAACAGCAGCAGCAACAGCAGCAGCAGCAGCCGCAGCCGCAGGAGCAGCAGCAGCAGCCACCAAAAGCACGTGCCGAAAGTGCAGCAAGTGTGCATCACTCTTTGCTGGATTCATTGGTCAACCGAGCTGTTGCTCTCCTGCGCTTGCTTTCATCCATTCTCTATCACTTTGGTGATGCTGATCAGGTAAGCTTCTCATCTATTTAAAAATAGAGTTGTGTTGAACACCTGTACCCATGCACTGTGAGAGCTTTGCTCTTCGACCTCCCAGAACACCTGCACCCATGCTTTGTGAGAGCTTTGCTCTTCGACCTCCCAGTTTCCTATCCATGTTCATACCTGAATCAAATTTATTTTGACCAGTGGTGCAGAGCACATGAAAAGGTTGCTTTTAGGTCAATATTTGAGGTTTTGAGTTATCATGCCCTTGTGGTAGCTAGCTCCTCCAGCTTGCATAGGTAAACAAAACCCGGATGAAAACTCTCACACAAATAATACTGTGGCGCATGGCGGCGTTTTTTGGAGTGCGCAGTCATGTCTCAATTTTTTTCGAAACCCCAAAGACATGTTTTAGCTGACAGCAGCCCACATCTGCATTGCATGGACTGGTGGTGGCATGTGAGCATTGCATGGACTGGTGGTGGCATGTGAGCATTGCATGGACTGGTGGTGGCATGTGAGCATTGCATGGACTGGTGGTGGCATGTGAGCATTGCATGGACTGGTGGTGGCATGTGAGCATTGCATGGACTGGTGGTGGCATGTGAGCATTGCATGGACTGGTGGTGGCATGTGAGTAGACTGGCTAATTGTGCGGTTTGCAGTTGGTATGGATAGTTGAAATATTTCATTTGTGTACTGGTCTTGTTCAGGATATTGCCACTGGGCTTGATGAGCTCACACCAACCTTCCTCAGACTGTGTACGTTGCCGAGTGAACTGCTAGTTCCTCTTACAACTAGCCTTGTTCAGCTGTGCACATTCTCTGCACATTCTGAGTGGACAGCTGATGGTACTGTTGTTTGTCCGGACTGGCCAAAATCCGAAGCGCAGTGCCATTCTGGTCTTGCTTCTCAAGCGGACAGTGCGGATCCTCACTCAACCAACAGCTCCCGAGCCTCTACATCGTTTGCTCCTGGTGTTACTGATGCTTCAGTGAGATCAGTTTCCTCTCTCGCTAGCATCACCCTGACCGACCATCAGTGGCCGCTTTCAGCTAAGCGGCAGCATGTTCACTACCATAAATCACTGTCGGTAGGGAATACCAATGGTGGTGGTGGTGGTGGTGTTGATGATCATGATGCTGCTACTACATCTGTTTCTCCGGTGGCTAGTGTAGTAGGTAGTGGTATTAGCAGTCAAGCTGAATCCTCTGATGAATTCCCAGATGCTGATAGAACTGCTGAAGGTTATGATGCTGACGTTGAAAGTGATGATGACGAGCATCCAACTCAAAGGACTGCAAGTGCACGGTAAGGACTTTCCATTAGTCCGTCAGTAAAGCAGTACAGACATTTCAGTCACGTTTCAATCGTGTCTTTAATATAGCATTAATTATCTGTACACATTTGAAACCCAACCACAAGAGTCATAGTGCTCGATAGACTAAGTCACTAATGCAGGTTGTCGGCCAGTGAGCATGTACTGTATTTTCCGGAGTATAAATGTAAGCTGCACTGGAGTATATGCCGCATCTCCCATTTTTGCCACAAAATACAGACATCTATCCTATCGTTCCCTTGTGTTTCCTTCTATTTTACATTTATGACTGGCTCAGTATCCGAGTTATCGATCCTATTTATCACCGTTAATTTGATCATCGGAGTATAAGCCGCACCCCTCCCCCCCCCCCTTTTGGGTGAAGTTTGAGTGTTTAAAATGTGGCTTATACTCCGGAAAATACGGTATGTACAATTGTGCATGCCTGTTATCATTCTACTCCCCAAATGTCCTTCCTGTTTGGGCTGCATGCCTGGGAATTGCGTAGTCAGATTTAACATTTGGGTCACCTGATGGCCCAGTCCACATTCAGAAAACTGGCCAAGTCTGGATGCACAAGTAGCTTCATTCAACCTACTTCCTAGTAAGATGAATACTGTAAGGTAATGTTTGCCTTGTAAAAATGCTTGCACTCTTTGCGAGAGGCGCCGAACTGCGATTTATGAACTTTGCAAACCAGTCTCAATTTCTAATAATGCAAGCGTTTCATGTCGCAAACATAAAATCATTATACAGTATTTATAGGTTTTTGTTTCTACCGTCAAGCACTGTGTTGGTCTACACTATGTTGTGTACATTCATTGTTTGCCATGCAGCGCAACCTGTGGCACAGCTGACGTGTTGCTTCCTGAAGCTCCAACGTTTGTGGAAAGACTTCAACTGCCAGATATGGCGCGACTTCTTGTGTCAATGGCAGCAGCTGTCGACGAGTAAGGGAAAATGAATATGCACTCAATGTTCAAATGATTGTTTTTGTACCTGTCTGAAGGTGATCTGACTGGTACTTCGAAATGCGACACTCAAACTCGAGCGTTTGATTCACACACGAAAAGTTGGGATGGCACACGTGTTTGAAGTACCTGTGAGTGAGTAGGTGACCATGAGGACAGAGGAGGATTTCGAGGAGTGACATTTGAAGAAGCGAAAGTTGTTGTATGATTTTTCTCTACAAGCTAGTACTTTCTAGAGTGGTCATGTATGTTGTAGAGTGATTTGATGCTGCTTGAACATGCCAACGATTGGGAATCCTCACATTTTGCATTAGCACAGCTTTAAGAAATTGTGCATAACTAAATGGCAGTGTCTGGGTATGTTGTTAGTGGTGGTGGTGGTGGTGGCGGCGGCGGCGGTGTCATTGTGTTTATTTCAATTGCCAATTCAAGTGGGCAAGCGCGAAGCCACGTTCTAGTCCCTGTTGGGTGCACGCCTGCGCACACGTGTGTGTGTGTGTATGTGCATGTGTATGTATGTGATGCTATTGTTCTCCGTGTACTGTATTGGACTCAGGGTTTTCATTGGCCAAATGTTGCTGGGATCATTAAGTCGCATAGTAAGCTGTAGTCCAGCGAATGGTGCCATAGTTACTGATCTTGTAAGTACCTTCACCTTGGCGTGTCATAGACTACAGCCTTTGGGTGTAGCAACTTTCCTTTTTAGAATTAGTGTGCGGTAGTAGTGTGTGATTGGTCATGGTGTATAGCAGTGTGTGATTGGTCATGGTGTATAGTAGTGTGTGATTGGTCATGGTGTATAGCAGTGTGTGATTGGTCATGGTGTATCCCACCATTCTACATATTGGTCTACATTTTAAAATGTTGTATCTTTCCTTGGTAAATTGACTACGCACCACTGTTGCACAATGTACGCAAAATTGTCAACGGCCGGATGCTGCTGCTTTATACCTTCTTCTGTCTTAGCGTGATGTCCTGTTATGTCTTTCATGTACAGAAATTAGCCGAGCACTGCTTAAAATGCTTCACACCAATGTTTACTAATACACAGAAGTCTGGTAAGTACTTGCTACTGCTGCAGTGTAGAGTGTAGAGGAGGGTGTTTCAAATAGGAACGGTTTGACAGCAAAAATGTGTAGACCCAAACTGATCACAAACGTGGTTTGTTCACTCGAAATATGTTTGTGGAAGGAAGCTGGCATGCGGAGGTTTGCTTTGAGGCCAGAGTCGATCGAACTGAGCGACTGCTTTGTGTTGGCCCATTGCCTCCAAGTTGCCCGATTTTTCGTTTCAAATTTTGGTGTGACAGGAACGGTTTTGGAGTCCACGTCAAGTTCACCCTGAGTTCTGAAATTAGGTAATTGCTATCGCTCCACGACGGCCAGTACAGGGAAACAATAAGCCTTGTGTGTGCTTCCATTAGTTTTCATTGGTATACGGTGCATTATTGGCGAGAGGCGAGCCGCTGCTTACCTGCGACAAGAAGTTGATTTTTCAAAAGACGTAAACACTGAAGTCGCAGTGCCAAGCAACACGTCAAAAACTCACCTGCTTGGTATAGCGCTTCTGGTCATCGCAGAGCCATGAACCTTTGGCTCGGAGTAAACCACATCGTAGTCTCACGGTGACATATGTTTTCTAATCAGAATACTAAGAGAGAAAATGAATAATGAGTCCGTTCCGGTTTGCGACTTATCTCCTATTTGAAACATCCTCCTCTACAATGTGCCAGTCATGTGCATGTCGGAGTGCAGCCAGAATCCTTTTCACGATGAGAGAAAAAAATGCTGGGCTGGGAAACATTTACCAGGTACACGTGGAGTCGGTTAATATTCACCTACTGAAGCCCATTGCACACTACATTGCACGCTACATTGCATTGTTGGGGCATTCCTGTAAACGTTACTATGCAAAGTGATACACGTAAGCGTTTTCAGATGGGTATACATCGGGATTATTTTGTATTTCATACTTGTGTTGATTACCAGAGACCGAAACATGCATGTGTGTATGTGTGTGTGTGTGTGTGTTTGTGTGTGTGTGTGTGTGTGTGTGTGTGTGTGTGTGTGTGTGTGTGTGTGTGTGTGTGTGCACGTGCACTTTTGCAGGCCTGGAGGAAACAGTCGTGTCTTTTTTAGTAACTGTGTGCCAGTGGCAAACTACTTCAGAGACGTTGTACATGCTGTTCCGCCTGATCATCACTGCAGGCTGTATGCAAGTGAGTGTCACTCTCTACGAAACTATGTACATACTTTTCCACAATGACTGTTTACAGCTGTGCCAGTCAAGTTTGATGTAGTCACTCCAACAAGTACGTGTGAAGACATGTACTGCAGGCGCGTCGGAACGACTTTGGAAGTGGGGCGGCCATGGTCCGGGGGTCCTCCCCCGGGAAAAATTTCAAAAATTAAAGCCAATTGCAAGCATTTCCGGGCATTTGGTGCCATTTCAGTGTACGGTAACTACAATGAAAGACTTTTTGATTCTGCAAAAAACCAAGGAGATGCTACGATCGGGGACAAACATTACCCTCCCCCGGGAAAAAATTCAAAAATTGAAGCCAATTGCAAGCATTCCCAGGCATTTGGTGCCATTTCAGTGTACATGGACTTTTCTGTTTGATTCTGCAACAAACCACGATCGGGGACAAGGATTTGCCACGTTTGCGCTGAGATCATCGCGCTTTGTTGCAGTGTGCTAAAAAAAAAAAAAAAAAAACGGCCGAAAAAGTGGGGCGGCCATGGCCGCCCCGGCCGGTGCAGTTCCGACGCCCTTGTACTGACACCCACACACACTTGCACGAGAGCGTGTGCTCGCGCACGCATGCATGGATGCACACCCACACAAATACACATGAAGCAGTCAAAACAAGCTTGGCTGCATCTGCAGGTGTCCTTTTGCATGAATAGAGAGATTTTCTTAGCCTTTTTCATTATTGCCTGATTCGTCAAACACTACGAAACTTTGTCATGCGCAACCTCTCTTATGTATTCACTCGCTGCTGACATGTGTGTGGTCTCCTGTCTCGTATAGTGTATTCACTGATCAGTATTATACATGTATTTCTGAATTGGATGCATTGCTAGCATGAAAGTTTTACCCCGTGAAAAAAGCACTCCAAGTGGTATTTATTTGTATTCAAAAGCAGATTGAATATAAAGGACTGTATATATACCGGTGCTTTGTAAAGGATGGCAGTGCAGGCGATCAGGAATTGCGCCCTGTATGCAAACTGGCTCGACTTGGACGAGTGTGTGAACCTGTTTCTTACTGTTTTGTTTGGTAATGATTGCGGTCTTTACAGACTCGTCTAATGCTGTTGGCAGCGTTGTCCAAGCTAGTTGATGTGCCCTATTTTCCAACTCATGCCATTGCTTTTCAACTTGGAGCCCAGCCAACTCCAGAGATTCTGAATCAAATTGAAATGCTGTGTATGGACATGGAGGACTGTGCTACTCAGTGGCCTAAGAATGGTCTGTCGCTGGTGATGCGCTGCTGCCTGCATGTTACTGGACTCGCAGAGAAGGCAACTGCCATCAGCACCTGGTTTCTACTATGCGCGAGTAGGGGGGAACATGAGATTCAACTGGCAGCTGATAGTCATGGATCAATACTCGTCTGGTACAGGTGAGCTTGAAGCAGGACAAGCACCTTCAACATTTCAACATAGATTGCTCAATGTTGTCTTTCACGGTGCTGGGCGTAGTACTGAAGGTAGCCTGCACACACTTGAAAAATGATAATTTCCAACATCACGCCATGTTTATGCTATCAGCCTGTTTCTAGCTTCTTATGCTATACTCTGTTTCTCAGCACCTCGAAGACTACCACTGGTGAAAATTTGATTTTAGGGTATACAGTGAAACCTCGTTAGGAAGAACACGGATAAGACAAATGTTTGCCTAAGAAGAACTAGTATTCGTAACTGTATTGGATAAAACCCTGTGTATTCACTGGGTAAAACATATGGATAAGAAGAACTCCCGTTATTGCGAACAAATATCGGTCCCTTGATGTTCGTCCTAAAGAGGTTTGTACTTCCCCTTTAAAAGTTCTCTGTTCGTTTCTTTCACTTGTATTACTTTTTTCTTCTCAGATGGAGTGAAAAGCAATCGAAACAAGACCCGTTGGTGTTTGAGCGTCTTCTCAAGTTTGGTGAATGGTATCACATTGGTTGTGTCCTGGATCTAACCTCACCACAGGTAAGCCTTTTCTGTGGTAATCCTCAAATTGTGTTGAGTTTTATCTCGAGACAGTCAGTTTGTCATGATGGCTGCCCAGAGATCTAGCTTTTTAATTCGCCATTCCCAATTCTAAATGTGGCGGCATATCTTTAGGGAATACTTTGCTTCAAAAAGCCTGTCATGGCAGAGTACCTTGCCACAAGTACTAAGTCAGTCGTGTAAGCTACATCCTCTGTACTTTTGTGTACGTTGTGTTTGTTTTGATGTGTGGCTAGGCAAGAGTTCACCTCTACCTTGATGGTGTTGCAGTGGGCAGTAAGCAAGTGCCTGGGTGGTCTGCTGCTGCTATGAGCAGTGCTTCTGGTGGTCAGAGTGCGCACTCCAAAGACACTGGTGATTCATTGATGTGTGAGATTGGTTCAGAGAGTAATCTACTGCAAGGAGCACCAGGAGCAATCCCCAGTGAGGCCAGTGTTAAAGTCGTTGGTGATATTGAAGAGTCGGCAAGTCTCATCGTGGAAGGACAGGAGGCTATCACAGGATCATCCGCATCTCCAGTTTATTCCACTTTGCTAGTTAGCAGCACTCTGGTCTTTGAATGTAAGTGTTTGTAATGTACATGTACGCTGTAGTATTGCATGTGTAGTACAGATGTGTTCCTTTTAGAGAAAACCCATTCCAGTTAGCTCAACCGCTTCAGGTTTACCTCCAAAGAATACATGAGCCGAGCCAAGCTAAAAGGTGGCTTAGGCATAATTTTTGGAAATTTCTTTTTTCATGCCAAAGTGATGTCTATATATCTAACTTCCATCATGGAAATTTTGCTGCCCATCTGAAATGTATATGTGCCATAAATAAGCATACATTGTGCACATGTCACAGAATGGCTGGTATCAATCACACTAAGGATTCCAAGACCTTCCGAAACTCCAAGAAAACATGGGACACCAAGTGGAGACAAAGCTTAGCAGGTGTGCAAGCAATACAAGAATAATGAACTTGTGTTCTAATTAGAAGATCCAAGAAAGAAGAAATAACATAATATGTACATTTTAAAATTTTCATCCTGACTCATGTCATTTTATCACGCAATACGAATTTTCATATCCTTCATCATGATGTTGTGACTATATTTTTCGCTGGGGTGGGGAACGTCGCATCTTACCAAGACAGTCCGTCATACTCTCTCCAATCACCTATGCCAAGATGAATTAATCCTTTCATGTAGCTCGTAGTGCTGTGCCAGACATCTGCTACATATAGGTCCAGTAGACTACTGCACATCGCTAACAAGCGGCACTGGTTCGTTGTCCGTCCTAGTCCATGTCATTCTCCTTCCCTGCCAAGGATACTGGTAGAAGGCGCCACAGGACAATATGCTAGCAGGTAGAGTCAATGCATCGCTTCGTCGTGTGGCACTATTTCCTTGAAACGAGGAAATTTTGGAATCCAGTACGCCACGTCATGAACACTAAATTGAAGGTAGCCGAAACAAAGTGAAACATCGCAGCAAGAGCAAGCTCACCAGGCCGCTTGTCAGAACGATAGTCGGAAGGCTTGTAGACGTCTCCCCATAGCTATACTCGTCGCTCTAGCCGTGGCCACGATAAGAAACACAGCCACTATGAATGAGCGAATCTTCCTCGTCAAGTAGGTTTGGGCGCATACGGATACAGAATGTATCCTCCACATTCTCTAGAATGTGGAGGACCCACATTCTCTAGAAGCTCCATTACGATCTCTGGCAGCGCTGAGGAATCCCCACAACGATGAAAGAGGGAACACTGAAGAAGTGTTGCTCAAACATAAAAAGGCTTCTCTCTTCATCCTCTTTCAAACTTGAATGAAAGTGAATATTTTCGCGATCGCGCTCGAGTAGAATTTTGCCAACTGTGGCATTTTGGTGATTTTCTCGATTTGTTGGCAAAACACGAAGCCACTTTTTAGCTTGGCGCGGCTCACATTCCATTGATGAAAACATGTGAAAACTGGAATAAGTTACTATTCCAGTTAGCAACTGCTTTCCTTTTGTTGCCGTGTTTGGCAAGACGTTTAGTATGAAATGTATTGTTGTATGCATCTGTGTCTTGCATGACCCTGGGTACATGGGTATGGTTAGAGTACATAAGTAAGGGGTGCAGCTTGCCAAATTAGAAGCAAACAAAACGCATTGATATCAGTCTTTCGCTGCCATATGGCTCACTGATGCCAATGTATGGTAGTCGAAGCAGCAGAACAACGGACACTAGTAGGTCCATGGATCATAAACCTGATGAACTAACACCGTATCATCTATGACGAGCATGGAAAGGCCTAGTTGATTGCAGATCAAGAAAGGAGTTGCACGCCTTTGCTGGTGTTCTCTTGATTCTGAGTGCAGTACAATTAACTCATGAAGCACCCATATACGTACCGTATTTGGCGGAGTGTTAGGCGCACTTTAAATCGCAAAAAATGCCTGTGCGACTTAGACTCCGAATGCTAAATTTGAATCGACCAGTGCATAATGTACATGTATGTATGTTATCATTCGTTGGCTTTCATGTGCTGCAATACATCATTGCACTAGTGCGAAGCGTCTACATGTAGTCAGTTCTGAGTGAAGGGCAAACTAGGAACTTTTTGCTAGAACTTCAATCGTGCTTCTCAATTTTTCAACTAATGATAACAAATCCAAGTGCTTCGCATCCAAGTCGTTCCGAAAAATTGAACTTGGATAATGAGCCAGTATGAAATGAAAAGTAGAAGAAGAAAAAAACATGGAAACGAGTTATGAAGCTTCTTTTCGTTCTGAAAAAGTTCATATTTACAAACTTATTTTGCTTACAAACTTATTGTACGTATGAGTACCTATCCAATGGGCTTTAGAAGTTTAGATGAAAACGCCCAAACGTTTTCGCATTTGATATAGCTGTCATCCTTGATTTACAGTAACTATCTTAGGACCAGCTTTCCAAGCCGGAATATATTCCAAATTGTGTTGTCTAGTTAAGTAATGTACCCCGGAGTATAGTACATGATTATTTTGCTACATACTTCCTCCAGGAACCGAAACGTTGTCACTGATAACCTATCAGTTCTGGTGAATAGACCTCTGAGGAGCCGAGCAAAGGTTACTCTGAGTGAAACTCAAACGGTGCCACTTTCTCTTGTATAATTGTGCACATACTCCAAAGACCTTTATCCACTCATTTTCCTAACCGGTTTTGTTCCACTGAACCAATTTTCTCGAGCACACTATTTCTTCAGAATGTAAGTGATAAAAGCCACAAAGTGTACGAATGTGTGTGCGTGTGTATGTGTGTGTGTGTGTGTGTGTGTGTGTGTGCATGCATATGCGTTTGGTATGTATGCAGCACCCGTATCTGCCACTGGTATATTTGCTCTCTACACCAGCAGCTTCACAAGTATTGGATTGGATGGCGTAATGCTGTACAGAGGGGGATCTGGCTATCATCCATCTTGGATCTCTTCACTCCATGAATTGTTCTCATCTAGTTTCTGGGCACATCTGAGTGGTACTAACAAACACATCAAGCCAGGAGAATCATGGTCGTTTACTGACAGTCAGACGCTCATGGTATGTGTGTAAATTGTCACGAATCCCCTAGTTATGCCTTCTGGCTCATTTAACTCATCATTTGAGAAGTCACAGTGGGAGCTTGATGAAATTTCCCAGTGTAATTTTCCAACATCGTTTTCCAGAGTCATTTTCCGATGTCAACACAAGTCTTGATGCATTACTTGTCAACTATGGGTCCTTTTCCAGCAGTCTTTGTTTGGAAAAAGGTCCTTTTCCAGCAGTCTTTGTTTGGGAAAGGTCCTTTTCCAGCAGTCTTTGTTTGGGAAAGGTCCTTTTCCAGCAGTCTTTTCCAGCAGTCTTTGTTTGGGAAAAATTGGCTAGGGAGGAGAAACTGACAACAATGCTGACATTCATACATTCATTGACTTGATATTGACTTGATATTGAGCTGTAGTGCGTGTACGGCGGGTACAAACACCGTTCCAACCTAAAATTCATGAACAAGTTACTTGGGTGGACCATAATAGCAGTAGTATTGCATATAGAATATGGAACAGTTTTTGGCTTTGCCAGCACGTGCTTTACACTTGATGGAGCCAGCTAGCAATACCCATCATTGTCAGAAAATCGCCCATGATGGATGGCATCATGTATCCTAATATGACCAGATGGCCCAAGTTGCTGGGTAATTACATGTCCAACACATTTTCAGGGCAATCACTTGTTCTACACATTTTAGGGCAATTGCTTGTCCATTACATATCCGGGTACTTAGTAACTTACTTGGCAGTATTGTTTATTTGCAGGGTAGTTACTTATGCAACACGTTTCATGATAGTTTCTTGTCCAATGTGTTTCTAGGGCAATTCCTTGTCCAATTAATTTCCAGGACAGTTACTTATCCAATGTTTGTAAGAAGTAGTTCTATAGTGTATTGTATGCCTATTTGTTCTGTAGTTTCTTCTGCAGACCCACGTTTTTCTTTCTTATCTTGATGTAGGGAGATTTGTGTATGGGATACACAGCGACATCACCAAGCCACTGGTATTGCTTTCATTGCAAGCCATCACCCCACAGCTCGAATGGAACTGTTCCTGCTCAGATCACTGGTGGTCTGCCACAATCAGCGAAGCACACGCACATGAAGGATGCTATTTTGGCCCTAGGAGGAATGAGAGCTGTCCTCTATCTTGCAGCTTTAGTAAGGACCTGTGCGTGTCTTGTATCAGCTACTTATTTTTCTGTGGGGCGCGTTCCACCTTAACGAGTCTGTATTTTGATTTTTCTCACTGTTATCGCCTTCCTGTTGATATCACTTTCATTCTCTTCCTCGTACTCCAAAAATCATGTGTTTTCACTTTGAAGTAGTATATTTTACAGCGAGGTTATCTGTTCAATGTATGTCACTCTGTATCTTTTTCTTCTTTGCAGTGTGCTTCTTGGGATGCTGAGCGGAGATGTGATGGTAATCGCCTCCTACCACACGCCATTCATCTCATCTTTTCACTCTCAAAGGGACATTCGGGCAACTGGCTTGATCTGTCTCAATGCTGTGGTCATCAGTTACTTCGTCAAGTCATGCTCACTGGTCGATACACCAGCGACACCAACACATTGCAGGTCTGTCTCTACATCTGTGTGTCTGTATGTACAGTTCTAGCCCAAGAAATTCGACCCGATGAATGTGATCAATTTTTTCTTCAGACTTTTCACTTTTCCATCCCCTCAACTAGTGAATACATGAATAAAGTAGCGCCGCATTCGAGCACAATGAATAGTGTGTGTGTGGTGCTAGGTCCGTGTAGCGCCCGGCGCTATAGTTCTTGTTTGTGTGCCTGTAATTATATAAATCCTTGTTTGTACATACCGTTATGTGTGCATGTTAGTCTGTGTGTAGTTCTCAATCCGTGTTTGTATGATTGTGTACATCTGTCTTTGTGTAGTTCTCAATCCGTGTTTGTATGTGTACTGTATGTGTACTTCAGTCTGTTTGTAGTTCTCAATCCATGCTTGCATGTGTACTGCAGAGAAGGTTCTGTACCAAGGTGTATTGAGCAATCTCTGGTGCTGCCACGACTTGATTGAAGTATGCATTTCTGTCTGTATGCCTGCCTACCTGTATGTGTGGGTGTCTGGCTGTCCTCATGTACGTATGTGTGTCTGTCTGTCTCTCTGTCTGTCTGTCTGTCTGTCTGGATGGATGGATGGATGGATGGATGGATGGATGGATGGATGGATGTGTATCTGGATGTCTGGATGTTTGTATCCGTATTTGTTACGTCAAGGATCAAGGATCCTTGAAGGGTGGTGGCGTTCCTACGGATGCGGAAAACTCGGCCTTTAGCCGAGTCTGACGCGAACCGTGATTTTTTGTTAACGTCTTTTGCTCTCTATTGTGGTTGATCTGTGCTATTCATACAACCTGTCAGGTTAAAGCTTTTCTTGGTACTGGAGAGCTGTATGAATGGCATCCGTGCAGCTTCGTTTCTTGTAACATGAACCGTGGTTCTTTGCTCCTATAATTATTATACTAGTGTGTACCATCACTTAGTTTGAAACAGTGTGTACCATCACTTAGTTTGAAACAGTTTTCAATTAGTAAACAGTACTGTGCAGCACAATGTCATTCAAATTGTTTGGTGTAATACCCTATAACATGGATTTTGTTTGTTTGTTTTGCTGTCTGCAGACGTTGCTGAACAACATCTGTGACAAACAGCTAGTGTACTTCAGTGAAGAAGGCACCCTGGCTGTCTTAGCGGGCAGTGATGCCATTATTGTTCGACCTCGTTTCATTGAATCAGTTTTACTAGAATGGAGAGTATGGTGGAAGGCTGGCTTACAAGTTTGGTACGCTTCTTTAAAGTCCTTGCTGGCCATTATCAGTGAATCTCATCCCCATGCAGCTTTCAACATCCGTCAGTGCGAGGAGGCGGGTGTGCTGCGCTTACTGATCAACACAAGCCGGGTTAGTTCTCATTTTGTAATTGTTTCTTGAACATTGTTTAGAAGAATTCGTACTTCAAGTCTGGATACATGTGATACGCTGTAGAATTATATCCCCAGCTTGAGAGCCGTGGCTGTTTTATTGCTGCACGACTTTCCTCACCATCGTGCCCTGTATTGTGGAACGCAGATGTACGATGACAAGCCATTAGCGTAAATGGTGACATCCTTAGTTAGTACCTGTACATGCATTAATTTGTGTTTGTTCTCTCATTCCATACCCATGCTGGTAGGACTTCCCTAGCGAGACATGTCGACCTGTACCTGATCCCATCATAAGGATCATTGACAGCATGATCACCGTCTTCCTTGGCTCACCACCGGATATGACTGTTCTGAACATGTTGTGTGATTTTCTGCTGAACGAACGCAGTAGTTCAGTCATTCACAACATTCCCGTACACCTACTCAACCCGCTACGAGGTATGTGCTCATTTAATTAAATGTTCGGGGTGCTAGAAATGGAATCTCGGTCATTGACCACTTCAATGGGTCTGCTCCAGTATTCACCCTCACCGCTTTAGGAGTTGCCTGTGACACATTGGTTATTTTTATAGATAGATGGTGGTGGCATACCTACAGATGCAGAAAAGACAGTTTGACTCAACCTTATGTTGGCTGTGAATTATTTTTGCCAGAACATGTGATTGTTGTGATGAATCAGTGTGCTGCTCTTACTAAGTATAGATATGACCAGGTCTTCTCGCTGTAGAGTTTGTCAGATGAGAATAGTTAACACTCTAAGCTAGTGGTGGTGTTCCCTGTAGCAGTCTGCTCAGCTTTGAATTCCGTTGACGGAAACATCTTGTGTGAAGTGATTTGTTTACGATCAGACCTCACTTACCCATACACGTTTGTTTTTCATGGAAATATTGAGTGTGTGTGTGGGGGGGGGGGGGGGGACTGGACAAGGGAAATATTTGAACCGGAACCAGATAACCAAAAGTGTGGTTGTACCCTAAGTGTTTACCGGTACCTTGAATCGGCTTCGAAATGTTTTCCACCGGTTGGTGAGGGTACCAGATGCAAGAGGACAGGATAAACGGAGTTTGACTGTATCATTTTGTTGTTTTGCTGCTGCTGTTTTACTGCTGCTGTTGTGGTCGTCGTCGTTGTCATCATTGTTATCTTTGTTGTGTCTGTTTTATCTGTATACCATTATCAGGTAATGTTGGTGCGAACACCTCTGTTGCTACTAGTAGCAGTGTGGCATCTCAGGCCAAGCAGCCCAGCAGAGGACGTCCACTATTGACCAGCACACCGGGTGAGCACATCAAGACTCGACTGTCAAGAACTCCTAAGCGTAGTGTCAGCAGTCCGGCCCATCACCCCATCAAAAACATCTCTACAGCTCTATTTGAAGTGGCCAGTGATGACGTTGCCAAGGAAGGACGCTTCAATTCCGATGGTATACGTGCTTTGAACAGCAGTGGTGGCGGAGGCGGCGGCGGTGGTGGCGGAGGCGGCGGCAGGGTAGACAGTCCCAGCAGTCCCATGTACACACCACACATCAGTACTGGGAGTCGTGCACCTGACCAAGTTGACATTGCTCATATGGAGGCAGATGTCAATGTCACCACCACAGGACTAGGAAATGAAATCGATCGGAAGGAAGGAAAGGCATCTCAAGGTTCTGTTAGCCCAGCAGCCTCTGCAGCAGCGAGACAGCGGCCTACATTGAGTCGTGGTTTATCCCTGCCAGTTCCCCAATTTTCTGGTGGATCATCTTTGTCCAGGCACAGTCCAGGCAGGCAAAGTGACTCATCAGCTGATGAGGAGATTGACGGCGTTACATCAGCTATGTCTGCACCTGTTCAAGCAGATGGCTTCCTTTTTTCTACACCAATAGCTGCCAAGACGCCTCCTAACTTCACAGTGGAGTCTGATAAGAAGTCTACCTATGATATCCCCAGCCGTGAGCAGTTAAAGAGGTTAACACCATCTAGATCGCATCGTACTCCACGCACAGCACGTCATCATGCAGATCTTGCAAGTGAAGTTACACCAAACTTGGAAGCTCGCATTCTCACCCAACTGCACAACAACATTGAGATTGTTGCAGACGCTCAACTGCAAACTGTTCTGTCCCTGATGCCTGCTGAAGCATTGTTAGTACTCTCGGACAATGACAATATCTCTCTTCGCACAGCTGTAGTCAAGGTGAGAATGTTTATGGCAGTGTGTGGATCTACCAAGGTAACCATAGCATAACGTGCACCAGGGTATAATGTGCACCATGGCGTACCATGCACCAGAGTGTAACGTGCAGCAGAATTGTTTTGTGCAATACGGTGTTATTGGCAATAGAGTAAAACATACACCGGGTATATATGAGTTTTCGCTTTGTTTGCGTGCATGCCCGAGATCCCTCATGCACGCTGCTGACTCGCATGTCACCAAGGTTAGGCTGCCTATCATGGATATTGTTGCCAGCCCAGGTTGGAGTGATTACAGGAGCAGCCCACCTGTCAGCCAACCCGGGATGGAGTTGGACATGTAGTTAGGGTCTAAAGCTGTGCTCACAACTGGCACGTGTACTGGTGTACATGCCAGTCACTTTGACTGTTGGGTCATAAAATCAGTACTCGAAGGCCCTGCACGTCCTAAAATATGACTCGAATTGGTGAAAGCCTGAATGTGTGCTTGGCCACGCATGAACCGCACACATACCGATTACACGCGCCGGTTGTGAATACGGCTTACTACATGTACACCACTGCATGTGCGTTTTGGTTAGCTTTGGCAGTTTGAGTACCTGACAAACTATTTTTAAAATAAACTGAAATTCTGTCAAGTATCATGTACACGTGTACTGTATGTTTTTCCCCTTTGTCGATTGGTGATTGTTGTAAAAATGGTGGACATTGTCCAGTGTTGACTTTTATTGAGATTGGAGATGCATCAGCCTCTGCGTGTTTTGCTACCATTTCTTACTGTACCTTTCACAGACTGTCAATGTCATGCTGAATCGCTGTGGCAAGCAATTTCTTCAAGCAATGAATGATTTCAAAGGATTCCATCTTCTTGCCAATCAGGTACAATCCTCCTCCTCCTCCTCCCCCAGTGTAACTGTCACAATAACACACTACAATGTAGTGTACATGCACATTTATAGCCACAAGCATGTCGTATGCATCAGACTGTATCGTAGGCTTACATAGCCAAAGCCACCGGTACCTTCAGTGAGCGCGCCCACTGCAGAGGGGCAGCAAACTTCTCATGATGGTAGTCTCTCTCTGTCTCTCTCTCTGTCTCTCTGTCTCTCTGTCTCTCTCTCTCTGTCTCTCTCTGTCTCTCTCTCTCTCTCTCTCTCTCTCTCTCTCTCTCTCTCTCTCTCTCTCTCTCTCTCTCTCTCTCTCTCTCTCTCTCTCTCTCTCTCTCTCTCTCTCTCTCTCTCTCTCTCTCTCTCTCTCTCTCTCTCTCTCCCCCTAATGTATACCTTGTTTGTGTTTCTCCTCTGGTGTCCTTGTTTTTGTGTACCATTTGTACAGCTTGTTCGGCATCCAGTGTCTGTTGAACTAATGAATGCTTGCTGGTCATTGTTCCTGAAGGCGCCCACCGATATTGTCGATAGCAGGTCAGGCTTATTTCATTTGCAAACCTCTTCCTTGTGCAGTTTGAAGACTTACTAGTATTTCCTCTTCCTCTAGTATGTCATCACTGATGAGACTCTTATTGGCGATGGTGCCATCGTGAGGATAAAGAATTCAAGATGAGAGACGTACAGTAGGTATCGGTTGTATAGCGTGGGTGTTTGAAAAACGACTTTCTATTCTTATGTCCGATATTTCTTACACACGATTAATCAAGTGTGACGTATCAGATGCATGTGCGCAGAGACAGGATGGCCATCATACATACAACGACTACGTACATGTATGTGCAGGCTGCTGTGCATGCAGTTGTTCATAGTCCCATATGCTTACCAAAGTAATTATTTAGTTACCATGTGGCTATGCAGTATGAGATACATAACAATCATGTACATGCACATGCACATGACAACAACAGTTGAACCTGCAGCACTGCGATGTAATGCGAGTCGGATCAGAACTGCGTTGGACAGATGTTATTACTACAGGCGATACACGTTGTACTAATCTGGTATGTTTTGCTACACAAAGTCCATTCTTAGGACCGATATATTCTACTATGCGATAACATTGCCTGTAAGAATAAATGTTCACTTGAAACCCATGTTTTGATTATGAAAACATGAGAGGTCATTCTTGTAAGCAGTGTATTCTTTTACACGACCACGCTATAACCGATACGCACTGTAATTCTGAAGACAAATGGTGACAGCTACCCATCACCAGTTGTAGACCTGGTCAGTTGTAGACCTGGTCAGTTATGCACTTTTTAAGTATAAGTAGAAAGCGTTGTTGTTTTGTAGAAGAAAAGAAAAAGACCAAGGACCTACAAGTTACGCTGTAATGTCCACTAACATCACCAGTTACTAAACAATCAGCTCATGCCACAACGTTGCACGACACTGAGCGACGGTACTGACGTTCTACAACTAACTGGCTAACAGCTCTAGCACATCTTGGATGCGCACTCCAACAGCCTTCCAACTTCAGGGCTCACAGTTGCGTAGAAAAGCGTCGATTAGATGGGGGCGGTGCACGTGCTCCAAAATGCCAGCTTGGCCAATCAGCAGTCAGCATTTCGTCGCATTTTTGCTCGAAGTAGGGGGTGTTTGAAGGAGTTAGCAGCACTTCAGCCAGGTTCTACGAAGCTGGGACTTGGCCCAGGCACAGATGACAGGTGTTCCAAAAGATTTACCGAAACAAATTTTCATTACTCACACGGGTATGCCAGAGCATATGCGTAAACTTCGTGAGATATAGTACAGCATTCGAAAGGAGTATCCAAAAACGTCTTGGTAAATTTCTTTGCCAGGGTCTCCTGAAAATTTTGAGCTATAGATTGTCCAAATCGACCAAGGGGGAGATGCTCTGTACTGATTTTAGTAACCCCGAGTCCCAGCGGCGCGCAACCGCTTGCGCGAAAATGTGTGAAGATCAAACAACAAGAAAAACGCATGCATGCAGCAGAACAGCAACGCGTGCCGTCGAAGAGAAAATCATTGTGCACAGATTGTTCAGTGTTCTCTCCTCAGTTCGCCCGCGGCGTTGGTTGCTGTGCTTTCATTCTCGCTGGAGTTCTTGTGGCAGCGCATTTCGCCGTCATGGAGGAACTGGCACCCTGGGAAACCTGGTCTTCAGTGGCCCTCGACAAACGCCCGGTGGATTTGCTGGTCCCGTTCACCTCCATCCGATCACCAGCTCCGTGTGGTATCATCATGTTCTCGGCGTTACCTGCCTGGCGAGCTCTGACTCGTTTGTTTGTCTTCTTACCTGTGGAATCATCACGATCGCTCATTGTAGGATCAGCTTTTGGTCGAACATGGCATGTTGTTTTTACTGGGACTAGCACAGCCACAGGTTGCGTTTCGCCTTCTCCTCCAAAATATCGCGAACATCGGCTCTAAAACTACGAGAACAGGCTACAAGTACAACTCTGGTTCTTTCTCTTTTCTGTTCTGTTTTGGATGCGTGGGATGTACACGATCGGTACTCTGCCGGGGTCACGCGACTCACGTGCACCAAACCCTCCCTCGCACGACGCTTTTGTCGATCCTGCATGCCTACTGTGAGCCCTGAACTTGGAAGGTTCTCAGTTATATGATAACATAAGAGGGGAACTTGAAGTTCCTTGGTCCTTTTTCTTTTCTATAAATTAGGGGTGAAACGAGTATCTATTTTGACCAACCGATCACTCGTTCATAATATTCGATCGAGTATCCGATTATTTCGAGTATTTTATCAAAATTCAAAAGCACTAGATTTGCGAGTTCTCGACCAATTCGGAAGAAATTATCTGTGAACATAGAACAAAAGTCGCCAACGTCTTGTACAGAGTGTAAAGTAACGATTTTCATCAGTACTTTCATATCTCAGAACGTTACTTGCCGTGGTGATCGCATCGTCCAAGTCTTAAAATACTGACTCAAAGCCATGCATAACGCATGCATACCAGTGGACCAGCCGTACAACAAAAGTTTTTGAAAAATACAATGCCAATACTAAAAAAAAACAAAAAAAACAAACAAACAAAAAAACGATCGAGTGCAAAATTTCGAATACTCGCTCGTTTGAAATTTTCGAACGAATACTCGAATGTTCGAACTAATCGTTTCACCCCTACTATAAAATGTATCCTTGGCTCTCTATCCGAGTCCATTTTTGTAGAAGACTTGCAGTTTGGGTATTTGATTTGTTGCTGAACTGCCTTCTATATTTGGCAGCCTTTTTTCCAAGTATGATTTGCTTATGGATTTCTGCATATGCTCGAGTTGGTACTGTGTTTGCTGTTACCATTAACTTCAACGTTCATTGCCAATTTATGCTTGAAAAATTCGTTCTTGATGGCCTATAATGATTCCTTTGTGTTCATACGCATGTGTGTGTGTGCTTGCGTGCGTGCATGTGCCCCGTACGCGCGCGCGCGCGTGTGTGTGTGTGTGCGTGCGTGCGCGCGCGCGCGTGTGCGCGTGTGTATGCCTGTCCATGTGCGTTCATGTAGTTTGGTGTTTCTAAACAATGCTGTAGAGACTGGAGAGTGCTTGTTGGATGCTGTGGTACCTGTGTTGGTACTGTTACCAGCCTGCGCTGCTAGTCCTGCTCACAGGCCTATCTGCTTCAACTCTTTACTCGCCTTGCGTATTCTATTACCGTCTATACCCGGCTTGTGTCAACGTCTGCTGCAAAACGGCCTTGTTGACTTGCTCACTACTCTTCTCTTCACTGTACATGAGCTAAGCCTTACATCAAGGTCAGTCATTCGCCAATCTGTACTCACTCCTGGTTACATGCTAATCTACATGTACACTCACACCAGTACTTCTTTCCTGTCCTGGAAACTGCTTGAGTGCTTTACCTAAAATAAACTGGGGGGGGGGGGACTGCTATTGCGCTGCTCGGACCTGGCCCAGAGTGCAGCGACTGCTGCAGTCTCCATGGCGGGCGCTGCAACACCGGTGTTTACCTGGCATGTCTCAGTGTGTTGCTCTCTCCATTCATCGTAATCTCCCTGCGTAACTTCTTGGTCAAACTGGACTTCCAGTGCACGCAGCGAGAGCATGACTTTGAGAGGATCTCAACATCTAGCACTCGCTTTGTATCCAGAGAGATCACGGTCTGGACACCGTACATGGATGAGTGGCCGCGGCGCATCCACGTACCGTCGGTGCTCACCACCACATCACCGGGTTTTGGCTCGTGCTGTGCTGTCCTCGTGGTGACCAGATCAGCCGGCCATCTGGACATGCTCTCTTCGGCTTGATCTCTGGCGGCTTTGAACAATGCATCTCGATGGAAATCAAAAAAATTCTTTGCTAGAGGCGGTGGCAGATCAAGCATTGCGCACACCTTTTTCAAGGATTCCCGGCCGCGGCCGATCAGGCGCATTGCCAGCACAGACTTCCGGTTGACGTCGTACCACTTCACTGCAGGCTGCTTCCTCGACATTGGCAAACTTGTTTCATCACCACACTTGTCGCACCTCCGCCCACACTCTGTCATTAATTAAACCATATCTCCGCGTCTCCAGGAGAGTCAGCTTTCCCTTTTTACAGGACGAACACAGGGCAGTAGCAGAAACTAGACCTTGCAAACAGGACATGTCAATAATTCTATTCCCAGAACACAATTCCGCATCCTCTTCCTCCTCTGAATCACTCTCCTCAACAGAGTCAGAAACGCTTGCCTCTTCGACCTCCACGGTGGCATCGACTTCTTCGCCCGAAATCGGAATGTCATCGTCAGCTGATTGCTCAGCTGATGTTTCAAAATTCTCAACTGTTTCCTTGGATTTCTAAAATTGATTTGCCGTGAATCTACACTTCTTTTTCCTTCCATGACGCCTATCAGGGTTAGCCATTTCAGCAACCAACTGAACTACACAGCTAGAAAGATGCTGCAGCGCTACAAGAGCTTGAACTGCTGAAGACGCGATCGAAGTGTTGAACAAAATTGATTTACGCACCAAAAGCTGTCACTCACGCGCTGAACATCATGCGCACAACTAGTACAGCTGTACAGCGCGACCTGAGGCCGTGATCGCCATTATTTTATCGTTCCTAGGCAACAGGAATCCTTGAGAACTGTTGCAAAAATTCAAGGTGATAGGCCTTCGAACGGTGGCGCGCGGGGAATACTGAACAATACAAATTTGTTATGCCCATTTTTGCAATTTGTTCCGGAAGTACAGTAATAGGATACTTGTTTAGGCATCCTTACTGGACCATAGCATTGTACTCGTTCGCGGAATTGATCCCAAATTTTGTACGGTGACACTGAGTACTGAATACCGGTTGTTTGAGCTATTTCACGGCAAGATCTAAACATATTCGTGTTTTCCCATACTTTGGGTAGGCTGCCACCTTTTTAATTTGTTTTGGAATGACCAGTCTGAACGGATTTTGCGAATGAGCAACTGGTGATCCCCGTAAATTACTGTCACGATAGATGGCACATTCCTTGTTCTTAATCACGCCCGCCATCCGCTTCGCTGCTGTACTTATGATCCTCATGCATAATTCAGGTGTGTTCTTGTCACCGATATGGAAGTAAAACAATTTGGTGCGCCGCCAAAAGAAATCAAATCAAATTTCTCACATCTCATGATCTGGCTGCACTACAGAGAATCTACAGATTCCACTCCATAGTAAAGTAGTGAAAAGCGGCCTGACCTTGTTACCACACCTGACCTTGTAAACACGTATGTGTGTGTGTGTGTGTTTGTGTGTGTGTTTGTGTGTGTGTGTGTGTGTGTGTGTGTGTGTGTGTGTATGTGTGTGTGTGTGTATGTGTGTGTGCATTTGTGCATGTGTGTGTACACCCCCGCTCACATGCGTGCATGTATGTGTTGCTTCCACAGGCCTAACAGTATATGTGATCACCTTGCTTTTGCCCTTCGTCATTTCTGTGCCACCTTTGTCATCTACACTTGCAGGTATGCTGTCCGTTTATTTCTCCGTTTCAACTTTTGACTAGCAGCTCTTTTTTGCTTATGTTGACTACATAGAAAATACATGTATGCAAACACAGATACGTAATTTGAAATACTATCGTCTAGCCTCTTTAGTTTAGAACCAACATCAAGGGACGGATGGAATTTGTTCTCACTAGTGTGGTTCTTCCTGTCCGTGCTCTATAACCAGTGAATACACAGTGGTTTTTCCAATAGAATCATAAACTCTAAGTTCTTTTAGAGCGAACATTTGTCTATCAGTATTGTTCTTCGGTGGGAAATTTTCGTCTATAATCAAAGTGTGACAACTTGGGAGCTGAGTTGAATGGTTTTTGGTCTGAGGAAGCTGCGATGCTCCATTCGTGCTACATGTATACAGTCAACTTCGCTAGTAACGGCATTCATCCAGGCTCAAAATATCCTGAGTCCTGACGCTAGTAGTGTCCTTACTCACAAAGTCCCTTTGAATATAATATGGACCCATGTTGCTTCATTAGGACATACATGTATATATCAAAACGAAGCTCTTTTCGGGCTCCAAATCAATGCACACTGTGTTTTCATATCACAACGGAAAGGAACAGTGCATCAACGTTCTTGGGAAATGAACTGAGAATAAACTTTGTGCAGCCAGCTATCTTGTCGTGCTTATCGCTCCAACTACATCATGTGCATGTAACGTGCTGCCAGTTGCATGCATGCATGCATGCAGTACCTGGAAGTTGATACAGACACCCAGAACTGACATGATTGGAAGGAATGATTTTGATTGGGCAAGAAATGGTGTGTTTCATGTTTTTTTTAATAAACCAAACAATGGGTTGGGTTTTGGCAGGTTGAAAAAAAGTATAAATTATATAAAATTGGGCTTGGGGTGGTGGGTTAGAGGATAAATTAAATAGAGGGGGGGGGGGGGGCTTTGGAGAATCGAGAGAGAAATCAAACGATGTCGGCAAACATGCCTGCATAAATGCCGACATTTTTTTCCCTCCTACTCATATCAATTCTTCTCTTGTGTTCTTTGTTGTAGTTCTGCAGGTGCAGAGATGTTCAGTATGTATGAAGAGTTTGTTTCGCACGTCATTGCTCTGGAGAAGACAGCGGCA